CATTCAACAAGAGAAAACTGATGCTGGAGGAGTTGCATAGAGGACATTTGGGGGCTCATAGGGCAAAACTTTTTGCCAGAAACTACATCTGGTGGCCTGGAATAAACACCGACATAGATAATGACGTTAAAAATTGCGAGTCATGCAATACTTGGGGAGATAATTCAAAAAAAAATACAATATGCTTGGTCTGCCGTTAATAAACCTTTTGAAAGAATGCATTTAGATTTCGCAGGGCCGTTTCTGCAAAAATACTGATTGGTAATGGTCAATGCATACAGCAAGTTCCCCATCATTAAATCGATGAACTCCATAACGGCTGATCGAACTTATGAGAACTATAAGCTTGTTCGGGATACCTGAACAAATCGTTACAGAAAATGGCACCAACTTTATCAGCAAGTTGTTTGAAAAGTTATGCAAAGACCATGGGATTAAGCACACTCGAACGTCAGCATATCACCAGGAATCCAATTGGCTGGTGGAGAGAATAATTAGAACCTTCAAAACACACATGAAAAGAAGTCTGGAAAATAAAAAAGTAGACGAGAAGAGAGCACTAGAAAGGTTATTGTTCTACTATCGGAACACACCTAATGCTGCAACGAGTGTTGCACCTAGCAAGAGATTATTCTTACAATAAGAACTGCCTGGGATTTGCTAAAACCAATATAAATGAGCAACAACCCATTATAGAAAATCATATCACCTGCAAAAGCTATAGAGATTGGTGACAGTGTGGTACAAAACGTTTAAAGACAACAAATGGCACAAGGGCATGGTCACTGACAAAGAAGTTAATTTGATATTCAAAATAGACACGGGGTGTGCTAAAATCAGGAGACATCGGGATCAAATTAAAATGAGATTCTCGAAATGATGTTCCTGAAGCCACGATTAAGGACAAGGACTCACTAACATCATCTGCAATCGATAGGCAAAATGACGGATATCCTACTGGGTCTATTTACATAAGAGAAAGGAACAATATAAAAGAAACAATGAATCCATTTATAAGGAATGTTCGACCGGTCAGACTCAAACAAATACCAAAACATCTGGAAGATTACATCATGACTTCAATAGCGTTACCACTCAACTTATCCAAAGCCGAATTTCTTTGGAGGGTGGAATGTTAAATAATAGAGATTATACCTTTCGGTGAAAATTTTATATTAACATTTTTTTATGTCATTTTAACGTTACATTTTTTTTGATATCAATTTATATTTAAATTTAATCGGTAAAAATATTAACATTTTTTATATATCATTTTAACGTTACATTTTTTTTAATATCAATTTGTATTTCACATAATTTGTTTTTTTTTATTGTTAAAAAAAAGATATAAAAAGAAAAATTGTTTTTGGTTAAAAGAGTTAATAAAAAAAATAAGTAAGATTTTTAATGTAGAATATGTGATGTAGTAAGAAATTTAGAGAGACACATTAAGAGACTTGAAACATTTTGGAAAATATTTAAGTAAAAAAAACAATCGTTTCGACTAAAACTTTGACTACTATTAAATCTGATACAAGAATATAATATTAATAAAATTGAAAGATATTGTAAAAAATGATATTACGATGTCAACAGAAAATCTGACAAATGCTTTGGTTAAGATGGTGACCGTTAATTGCCGCCTTTTGTCAATTATTAAAGGCTCAGGGTTTGAAAAATAATTGACCCTATTACTAAAGCCCTGGGTGTGCCCCAAATAGTTTTAAAATTAGAGATTGTAATTGATTCGGCAGATTAGACAGAAGCATTCTGGGAATCAATATTTAAGATATTCGAGGTAAGATTATAGTATTAAGAAATTTGATAAAAGAAATGAAAGATATAGTCACAGGAGACAATATCAAAAAATGATTTTAGAGAACCTGAATAAATTTGATATTCTACTAAACAACTTATACACTAACAACCGACAATAGTGCAAATTCAATCAAGACTATATATTATTAAATGAATTCGTCAGGGATGATGATGTAACTGGGGATATAATAAATGAATAAATGGCAGATCTAGACTAAATGTTGAGAGATTTAAGTCTAAAAGTTTATAATAATAGATATGCAGCATACACATTTACATTTAGATATTAATGAATCTTAAAGACAAATTATGCGAAATCGATTATTGAACTAGTAGGCAAGTGATAAAATTTTAAAGAACTCCAACGATCGTTATAATCTTGAAATCACTGAAAAAACTTATGGCAATAATTGAATGTGCAACGAGATGGTCATCGGTTTACGATATGCATCGATTGTTAAAATTGAAAGATTTTTATATGGACTTTGATATAACATCGGAAGTTATTCTAGAGGTAATAGAATGGGATTTAATAACTAATCTAACTGAAGATTTTTGGGAAATTAAAATATAGCCTATGACAAATCTCTGTAGATCTCAAAGAATTCTTTCATACCCGCCAAAATATTGGAACGATAACGTTATTTATCCATTCATGATTCCATTTAAATAGTTAGATAACATTTTTTTAAAATGTTTTAGCATTTTTTATCATTATAATGGAATTTATTACAGCTCTAATAAACTTAACTAATTAATAAACTAGATAGAGACTTAGCTAATTTATAAATGAAGATAGTTGCTCGCTAATATACAAACGAGCTAGCTTATTTTTTTAATAATTTTTTTCCAGGTTTTGGAGATTTTTTAAAAAAAAAATTCTGAATTTTTGGTATTTTCCTTTCAGAAAATTATTATTTTATATTTTCTCTAGTTCTGATTATTTTATGATTTATAACTTAATTTTTCTCCATTTCGGTTACATTAGAATCTTTCTCACTTATATTTGAATATTTTTTTATTTTTAAAATTTTTAATAAGTAAATTATATTTTATTAATATTTTTTTAAAAAATTATCTAATATAAAATAATGAAAAATACACATATACCAAATTTAAAAAAAAGACTACATAGATAGGACCTTGGATAGAAGGTCGATTAGAAAGTACATATCCGTATTTTTTTTTCGATAATTTTCCCTCTTACTATTTCTAAAAAGAAAACCACGCGCCTAGTTTTAACTTAAATTTTTATTTAATTTTGCCCCTATTTAATTTTATTACGTTTTAAATTTTTTTCTATCATTTCAACTACTTTTTATGTTTTTCTCTTTGAGCGTTTCATTAAATTAAAAAAATTTAATCTGGTTTCCTCGTTTTCGGTAACTTTTATTTTTCATCTTATAATAAATTTTTATTAACTAGGGGTTTCCTCAATTTTAATATAATTGTACATTTTTCAACCCAATGATATTTTAAACTAATATATTATAATTCATTTAATTTTCTATTTCCATTTTTTAAGGTTTTATATAATTTCCTTTAATTTAATTTATTTATCTCGCTTTTATTCAAATTTTTCAGCCCCCTTACCCACCACTCTCCCCCTTAAATAGTTTTACTTGATTTTTCATTTTTAAAATTTTTCTTCACTTATAATTTGATTTTTAAAAATATATAGGCATAATTAATTTAATTGCCTTTTTTGGCCTAATTATTTTTTGATATATATTTGAAACTCACAAAACTCAGATCATATATGTTAAGTTCATTTATAATAAACACATTAGATTTAATGACTCATGCCAGCACATTCATGGTCATCTATTTTATAAGGAAAATTTGGAATGAAAATTCGAACCGTATTTCTACTTCATGGGCAATTACATCCTATATTTGCAAATCGACTTGTCTTAGCATCTTTAATCTATATTTCTTTTGCATTTGAACTACTTGCAGAGGCTTTATGTATAATGATTTAAAATCGATGTTTCGGATGAAAGCAATATTGGGATGCAGATTTATTTTACAAAAGAAATACTGTTTTGTAGCTATTTTTTGTGGTTTACCTGATGAAAATAGATATTAAAAAGTGGGTTATTTTAAACTACGCTATCAGGTTTAATGAAACACAATTAAAGTTTGGAGTGAGAATGTATGAAAATGAATGTAAGTATGGTTTTAGACAAATGTCTAGAAAATGCTCTTAATATATACGAGAACTCCTCTATACTCTCTCCTCCATGAAATTTCAAAGTTTTGTAAATATCATTTAAAGTAAATATAGCCCCAACTTCCTTGATATTTATAATCCATTCAAATTATGATCGGTTTATCAAAATTAAATTGTAATTTTTCGTCATACTTTGATCGAATGCTGTGTTTTAGAAAGATTCAGGTTAAACTTAAATTTCACCAGTCGCATGAAACTAGATAAAATTTTAAAAAGGGTTATATGAGAAAAGTTTCACCAATTCTTGGGCAGTCTGAAGTTACATGTGCGCATAAGGGGACTAGCTCCATGCCCAAAAAACGCACATCTTGCTAAAAGGTATATTGATTAAATAAAAGGAGATTATTGAGGGCTTTGGGTAGGTTAACTTTAAGTTTATTTTGTAATTCTATAGAAGTACTTGGGATAAACATGATTAAGTAATAATATTTAAAATATAGGCTTATATAAATTTATTCCACATAATATTCTTAATTGTAAATAGATTAAAAACTAATGTTAAATCATTAATTCTCTGTTTGCAAAATTAAAAAAATATATTTAACTATTAAAAAATTAATTATATTTAGAATAGCTGCATCTGATTTAAGATTATAATATTAATAACTATTCCTGATATCGAGGCAAAATTTATTATCCGATATCAAAAACGGCTAAATAAATATTTTAGTGAGAAAAATATTGTATAAGCCTCGAGATTTCACTAACAGATGTATGTGCCACAGATGAGCAATATCTTTAGGCTTTCATAATATTTTTTTAGATAAAATACTGAGAGCCTTTTTTAAAATCGGATCAAATGGAGCTATTTTGCATCATTAGATTAGTAATTAAATAACTATTTTTCACCCGTCACAGTTTAGTATTTCTAGATTAGTTCATGCAGGCATTCATCAAAAATATAAAAACATGCTTGCTATGAATATTTTTAAGATATTTAATAATTTAGTTAGAGCTTGTGATAAGAAATTATATTCAATAGCAGTAATGTATGTATTTATAGAAGTTTTTTTTATAATTAACATTATTACGTTATTTAGTTTGCCAGAAATTGTAAACGATGGCTCAGAATCAAATCTCATATTTAAAAAAAACATATACCCTCCATTATGTAATATAACACCTCAACAATTATATAATGGAATTGGGCATTTATGTATTAAATATGATCTTGAATTTAATGCATTTGAAAATGAATTGAAAGGTTGTTTCTAGTAATAAGAAATAAATAACCATTTGATTTTATAGACCTAAACAGTACAAAAACATATGAAAATATATTAGTTAGATTAGAAAAAATGTCGTCATCCATATCTCAGGCCTTACTCATAGCAAAACTTTTGAACAAATTAAATTATTCAAAATATAGCAAAATATATAGCAAAGTAATTTAAATTTAAACAACTATGTTTATAAAACTATCAGATTTATCCCTCAATGCATCGCATATCAATTTTAAGATTTAAAAGTCATCCTATGTACACAGCACTTAAAGTATATTCAATTCTTAATAAGCATATATTATAAAATTATTTCTATTTTTCTATCTTAGGAAATTAAAGATAACTCAACTTTAAATGAAGAACAATTAAGTGTGGTTGACAAATATATTATCCAATGTAAATTGAATGGAATGGAATTAACTGGAAAATCAGCTGATTATTTAAACCATTGTATTATAAATATTGAAAAACAGAAAGATATATATACGTGAGTTATTAATTTATCCTATAATACTTATATTCTTAAAACTATGTTATAAAACTCTAGACTAATCAGAATTGTAAACCCTTGTTCTAAAAAAGGTATCATTCAGTGAAAAATCCCAAAATTAGTTTTGGATTCAGAATTAGAGTCCAGAAAAATAAATATTTAAAAAATTTATTAAAAATAATAAACATCAGTTTTCTTAATTTTTTTAAAATTATATTTGATCAAAATAAATAATCTAATTATAGTTAGAATAATACAATACCATTTTGAAAATAATATTCTGTTTTTTAAAGTTTATTTATTGTAATTATGATATCTTCCAAAATCTAGATATTAGGATGTAGATTTTTTATTTCAAACTATGACAGTGCATTGCAATTTGCATTTATCTTTTCTCTGTTCTTTTTATTTCATATCCACTACCTTAACTTCCTTTGGTTAACTTGCCTTATCTTTTTTAGGGATTTAGGACTTGTATCTGCAAACTCTCTGGCGATCCTCTAGAATGTTTCTTCATAAGACAGAGTCTGACCATAGCTTCTTAAAGCTAGTTACATAAGCTTCAACAGGAGTCTTCTTTTTAAAGAACTTCCAACACTCTTCCTTCTTTATTTTCTTCTCCATTTTATACCATATTTCTTCTTTATTTTTTAGATTATTAGCTTTAGTTTGATTAAATATATTTGTTTATTAAATAAAAAGATATTAAAAAATCCAACAAACAACATTGGATATTCTTAAAATATATAATATATAAAATTTTTACATAAATAATAAAAATGATTTTTACAAAAAATGAAAAAAACAATTCTTTAACCCTGAACTCTAATTAAAAAGAATACAAGTTCTCAGCCTTGCTTAGTATTCATAGAGCTCAATCGTTATTGATTAAGTAAAGTTGATGAAGATATATAGAACCTTCCAACTTTGAATTATCAAGAATTTAGCTTGTTTTATTATTATTGGCTATAAATTTAACATTTAAGAAAATATTTCATTGAGTGATTGGTTATAACTAAGAATTTAATCAATATAGTCATTCATTTGTTATCCCTAAACATTACTTTGTTCTTCAATTAGGGAATATAATCTTTGTCATAAAATTAAAGAAAACTTCTATAGACTTTTACCATGCATATTGGCATCAAGTTTTTCTCTATTGAATCTGTAGAATATAATATATAATTTTCATCCATTTTAAATCAGGAAGTTATAGAATTGGCTTCTTGTAATTGATGTAGAAAACGATTTAACTTTAATCCAATATAAATAATTGACGGTTAATAGAAATACAAATAAAATATAAAGAAAATCAATAAATATACTGCTATTATCTTAATAAATATATAAAATTTTTATTGATGATAAGTGACACAGGGGGATATTTGAAAATCGAATAATATCACGTAAATTTATATTCGAATTTTCCGGTTTTTTTAGAAGGTTTAATAACCAGCCCCTCTGAGATAATATTCATCAATTGGGCATTTTGAATAATCTTTTTTATGATTATTAAATATTTCTTTCTTTTAACTCTATTATACATTACACTCATATTGAATAAGAATGACCATATTATTTATTAAAAAAAATATAATTACACCATGATGTTTTATTCGAAAAGTTCAAACGTCAATACGGAAAGAATAGATAGCATGCAATTAGTTCAAAATCGAGAAGAAATACAGGAAATGCCCGAGGAATATCTCATGAAATATGTCCATAATATGTAAATGTTATATATTATTTAGCGTCATTTGTGTTTTAATTCGGCAATAGTATTTTTTTACTACTTTTAATAAAATTATCTATATAACACTTACGAAAATAAAGTCTGGCCTTTTCTGAGATGTACTCCAGCATGAATAATAAATATCTTTCGTACGAATTACCATAAATTTTGGAATAATTTTTTTAATTTTTCGATAGTTTTTTAAATTAATTAAATTAAAAATGGCCTAAAAGTTCGTGACAAAATTGTAAATTCATGAGAATATTATATTTTGCGATAATAGCTCAACTCAAGGAGTCTTCAACTGTAGGAATTTTTTTTCAACTGGATGAAATATATTTAAGATTAAACAAGTATCTGAAGCAAGGAGTCGGATTTAAGGTTAGCGAGATTTGGGTTAGGGTTAAGATATATTGAAAACGGGTATTAATAAAATTTTAATGAGTTTTATTAATAACAATGTGATTGTAAATAGACAAATGAAATCTAAATAAATCAGCTGTTGTAACGGCAATTTCCTTGAGTTGGAGTTGTTCAATTGTATTTTGCACATTCGGCAGGCAAAATCAGATTTTAAATACATTTAATAAGCTATATTTAAGGTTGAATGAATAACACATTTCCGGAGGAAACACAGTGACATAATAGTGCTTTCCATCTCCTTACTCTCATGAATAATAATTTATTTTTGTTTTAAAATAATAATTTTTTAGCGAAAAAAATCACCTCACCGGCCCTTGGTTTATCAGTTACCAACCTGAAAATTACGAAATCTTTATAAAATATTTGAATAATTCTCAGAGAAGACAAGCCTTATTCACTACTCACTATAAAATGGCGGGGAATCGCAAACACAATCTTTTGCACAATGGTAAAACTATCGAAGAAATATTGGACTTGAGGTTGCATCTCTTAACCCTTCTAAATAATAAGCTTAAGTTACGATGAGGGAAGCTTTTAAATTACGAAATTTTGATATCAACCTTCGTTTTTTTATTGCCCTCCCTCTCCCCTTTAATTTAACATCACAATAAATTTTGTTCGGTTTGGTACAGCTGATTTTCGAATCTGTTTTCTTGTTTTAAATTTGAAGCATAAATTACAAATTTTTAGTTGGTGGAATTCTTAAAATTCAAAATTATTTTTTTTTCTTTTTAAAATTTCAATTTTCGTTAAATGGCTGATCAAATAATATATTATTTATTTTTACAATCAATTCTGTCGTGATAGGAGAGAGGTGGCCAAACTATTATCTTACACGAATTATGTCGAATTATCACTATCTAACAAAATGGCCTTGGATTCTACCGAAATTTTGGATATGATTGAAAAGTTTATATATTTTATTGGTTTTTTTTATTTGTAAACTATATAATATATTAGATTTAATATAAATTCTTCTTCAAATTTTCTTTCTTTATTCTCTTCATATTTTGTGGAAAAATTATTTTAAAATAAATTTTAAATTATTAAACTTTCATAGAAAAAATAATAAGATATTTAAATTATATATTTTTTGATTTTTTTTTTGTAACATTTGTTTTTAAATTTTTTTTTGGCTTATGAAGTTAGAATTTTATAAAAATGATTTTTATTATTATGGCAATAAAATAACCCTGCAATATGTAAAAAATGCTGTCTTTGGTAGTGGTTATCATTTTTGAGGCTATGTCCAAGGCGTCAAAAAAATTTGATTCAAAAAATAAAAAATAATGCCTTTTTTTTTAAATAGAAAAATAAAGAAACGCTGTTAAATTTGTAAAAAAAAAATTTTATCGTAAGGTTTCTATAAAGTTTTAATTAAAGGTCTTTAAACTTTCGGGATTTTTGAATACAGATTTTGGTTGCCTGGAGAATGTAAAATATTTTGTTAAGCCTGATAGTGTACACAAATTGAACGTTTCAACCCAGCGTTTCAAAACGCAAATAAAAAAACAAACGTAAATTGATTCGTTAATTTTATTTTTTTTAATATGAAACGTCTAAATTTAAAACAGAAAAAGATGCTGTCCTATTTAAACGAAATTTGCGTTTTGAAACGCTGCGTTGAAACATTCTATTTGTGCGCACTATTACTACTCCTCATTCACAGTTAACGGGAATTCGCGGCGAAATATACAAAATATTCTGTATTTTTATATTCTTCATCGTTCTTAAATAGAACTTAGGAACCTTCCAAATTTGGAGCCGGAAACTAGAACTATATCTTTTCTTTAAAATTTAGAACCATTTTTTTTATAAATTTGGAACCGGAAACCAAAACCATTTATTTGTTAAATTTAGATTCGGAAATCAGAACGATTCTTTTAAAAATTCGGAACCAAAAACCACCGGAAACCACAACTATAAATTTAAAACTGGAAATTGGTTTAAAATTCCGAACTGGAAATTAGATATTTCATTATTAAATTATGGGTTATTTTTTTTTAAAAAAAATTGAAAGCTAAACACTTAAAATGTATGTATATATTTTTTGGAATTATCTAATTTCTCCAGGATAAGATTAGTCGCCTACCCTAAGGCTTTGAAAGAGATACAAGAGTTATCGCTATTTGCTAACTCCGACCCTTGCATCTATATTGGAGACAATCGCGACGAACATAAAAATGAAAAATTTCTGGGAAATATTTTTTCTAAGAACGAAAAACAAATCGAGATTCAGACTTGGGACGTGGCCTATTGGAGCAGGAAACTTAAACAGCATATATTGTAAGTTTTTTTTAAAGAAAATCTATAAATTCATCTTCATTTTTTGTTTTAATGAGCTAAAATATTTGCTATATAAATATTTTCTATTTTGGATCCACGAGCACTATTGATTAAAGATTCAAATATACAACTAACTTAAAATGGTCGTCAAATATAAAATATTAATTTGAAGTTGGTTTCACACAAACAATTTTTATAAGTTTTTTTTTGAAGCTAATAATTATACACCTATTTCTAGTGAATTGTTATGTAGTGCAATATGTTGGATACCGGCCCCTATTTTGGAGACTGCCCCACCCCCATATTCCTAGCTCCACGCAATTTATTAATATATTTTGTACCATCAATTAGTAATTATAATTTGTTTCAATGCATCAATTTAACTTTTATTACTATTCAATATAATAAATTATTTAATCTTGATTTCCGTTACAATTGTATTTTTGGCATTTAATCTTTATATTTTTAATCTTGACTTTTATTTATTAAAACTTAAATTCATTTTGATATCCAACCTTCTGCCTCATTGTGGCAAGGGGAGTGGCAACGTCATAGCTCAAGATGGCTGATGGAGTTTAAAAGAATACCCGTTACATGTAGAATAAAATTATCTTTTCTTCGTTAGGTTTTAAAAAACATGGAAAGAGGTTGATATCAGAGGGAGGGTATCTGATTATAAAAACTTACTTCATTACCTAATAATTTTCATACTTAAATAAAATCTTAATATAGAGCTGGAACACACTTTTCCAAACACATTTGCTGTTAGATGCTAAATTGCGTGCAGCTCAACGTGGACCTAATACTTGTATTTATTTTTTTAAATATCCAACTATAGTAATTAAATAAAGTTCGCTTAGTCTAGAAATATTAATACGCACTATATAACAATTCGCAAGACATGAAAATTATATAAATACTAATCGCTAAATTTAATGAAATGATACTTCTTGGTTAGTGCATGAAAGATTTTTTTAAATAAGAAAACTTTCCAATCCCTCCATTCTAACTTTATTAAAACTGCCCTCTCAAAATGTTTTATACATTGACTAATTTATCAGTTTTCTAAATTGTTTAAAAAACATTGAGTGCCCAGTTTGTGAGGGTAAAAAAAAATTTTATCGGTATTTTTTAAAAAAATTTGCAGCCCATACAACCATAAAATTCGTTTCGAGTATCATCACGTGATGTCAAACATATTTGATCTTTGTTATAGCTTATTCGGCATCACCTTTAAAGTAATAATATATTATTTATTATAGGCAGGAGTTGGGGCAATAAAGTGTAATGTTCGCCCAAATAGGGTCCGGTCTGTTTAATATAATGAATGGAGCTCATACTTTAACAGGGCTTTTTTTTATAAACTAAGATTATAGTTTTATTTTTCCTATCAATCGTCTTGATATACCGTTTAATTAATTTAACCCTTAATGTAATAAACAATATTTTAATACTTAAATGGATAAATAGAATATAAGATATGGTAAAATTCTCTTTTATTTTTTTCATGAATTTATTAACAAAATTATTTTATCTATATCCTCTAGATCTAGATCTTATAAAATGTAAAATTTAATAATGAAATAATTTTTTAGATAAATTTTTCTTACCGTCAACAATGAAAGGGGGGAAGAAAATATATAATAGTTTGAATTTCAACCTAGAGAAAACTTTGATCTGAAATTATACCTACTTTTTTTCTTTTAGGCTATGACCTAAATATCAAAAATATAATTAATCAAATTTATTAACTTCAACGAAAAAGTTAAATAAGCTATTTTTAATGTGAAAATAAAGTAGAGTTCTAAATCATTTTCTCGAATTTACCAAAATTTATTAATTTTTTAAAAATCTAGAAATTAATTAAATTTAAAGTTTATAGTTGTGAATTTTTCAAATTATTAAAAGATATGGGCAATTTATTAATCATATGGGAAATATTTAAATTAAATGGGAAGTATAAAAATTATTTGGTAGAATTTATTAATTTCGAAATTTACATAAGTTTAATAAATTTTAATGGAAGATTTTGGACATGTTTTATAACGAAAATTTTGAGATTTTTTAAAATATATTTAGGAAATAGCCTAGGACTTGACTCGGAAAAATCCAAACCGATAAACCGGATTCTTGACGATCACTACGCTTTTTATCGTTTTCGCATATTTTTTTTTATATTAAATTAAAAATTTTATATGTAATTTTTATAATTAGGGCCTTTAATTCAGTTATAATTTTTTAAATTAAGCAGAAATTTTAAAAGGCATCAGTGCAGAATACATAGATTTGATTAACACTAAGGCATGGAATAAGCAAAATGCATCTGATTTCGATTGTCAATCAGAAACTCGTTAAGCTTACAAATTACATTAAATTCATATCTGTTCCCGAAATATCATTCGCCTAATTTGAGCCATGCCTAATACTACTATAAAGATTTATCCTACGTTCACACTTAGCACGAATTCACGACGAGATCGAGATTTCACAAATGCTTGGGCGAGGCACTTTTGAGTTTAAGAATGTTTGTTTTGTCAGTAAATTTTTGAGTGAACAATCATCTGTAATGATGAAAAAATCTTCAATATGGCAGAGCTATACATTGGGAAGGTTGCTAGTTTTAATAATTTTATTGTTAATGAGATTTAAAATGGGATGGGAAGGGGATAAAATGCAGTATTATTTGATACCATATACTATTTTAAAGTATGATAATATACCGTTGTTTTATATTACTAATAGTGAGTAGTAAAGGTTTTAGCATGACGCAATCAAAAGTTTTTTGAGATATATAACCTTGTTATATATTTGTTATTTCAGATAACCCCCCCCCCCCCCCTCCCCTAGGGAATATGAAGTTTCATTAGATATAGCTAAAATTATTTATATAAAGTTAGTAATAATCGAATATTATATTAAAACCTGAAACTGGCAATAGATTCAAAATGCTAGCCTAAAATAAATAGAAATGTAGTTTTTAATCGAAAAAAAAATTATTAGAAGTTTAAAATTAAAATTGCCTCTAATTTAAAAAAAAATTATTAGAAATTTTGATTTAAGTTGTAAAAAAGTTACCGGAAGTTTTTAAAAATGAGAATGTTTTTCGCAAAATTTTATTTCAAGTTTTTAAATTTTTTTTAAAAAAGGATGTGTTTTTCTCAGCAAGTTTTTACAATAATTACGGGGAGTAAAATAATTATATTGTAATATTTTTAACATATATGGAAATATTTTTCAACAAATCATATTTTAATTACCATATAATGTAAATATGTCCTTTTACAACACGCCCTCCATTTGTAAGTCAAGAGCGACTATAAGGCTTGCAATATTATTCTACATCAAATAACTATTACAAAAATTTCATAAATATTGATCTATAACCCTAAGAATTGATTCCTATATATCACTCACTAATTACAAAAAAAATTCCATAACAATTTTTATTATAGATATTTTTTTTAAAAACATGTTCAAGCATTTATCATGTGGAAACATTCATTGACTCCATACTTCTTTACATAAATCCCTTTCCATTGTTCATTTTATCAGTTACCATAATTTTATACCTACATCATTTTCCATGGTTTCCTTTGATCTAGAGTTCATCCGCTACCATCGTCCCATACGTCTTCTGGCATTTTATTATTTCCCCGCTAATCAGATTTAAATGTCGTAAGCACATTCGATTATCTTACTAACACTTACAAATCACAATAATAATGATTTACAAATATAACCTTTATATTTCTTTCCACTAACACGAGGTCGTCCTCTTCCTCTCTTCCCCGGCACCTTCATTTCCAATACTTTTCGATTTACATCATTCGTCTTCCTTCTTAGTATATGACCATACCACCTTAACCGATTTTAGTTTATCAAGTCCGACATAAGTTGAATATACATTTTTGCTCTGAGACAGTCATTCGTTATATGGTCGAGTTTAGTATAACCAAGCTTCACCGTATCATTCTCATCTCCGTGGCTTGTAATTCTTCCGTAGCGTTTAATGCCCATTTTTCACTTCCATAGAGTAACACCGGTCTTACGATGGATATGTAAGCTTTGTTTTTTAATCATATTGGCATCTTCTTGTCGCACATTACACCGGATATACTTCTCCATTTAAGCCGTCCTTTTTGGATCCGTGCATTGACTTCTTTTGCGCAACCTCCCTCTTGATGTAGCATCGAGCCTAGGTATGTAAACCTGTCTACTTTTGGGTACTTTAATTGGTCATTTAGCGATGGGGTGCCTGTAACGTTCATCTCTATGTATACCGTTTTTCGATTGTTGACCTTTAAACCATATCCATCTAAGCGTTTTGACCATTTTTCGGCTTCTTCGAATACTTTCTCCTTTGTCTCTTCGCATAGTACTATATCATCGGCATATAGCATACACCAAGGAGATGGCTTTTGGATGTCTCTCGTTATCATGTCCATAATTATATTGAATAAAAAAGGACTTAGAGCAGATCCTTGATGTAATCCAATTTCAACCCGAAAAGGTTTAGAGTAGTCTCCAACTGTCGTTCTAACGCAAGAAGTTGAGGCTTCATAGATATTTTTCATAAGCCGTACATATGCATCAGGGATATTTTGGAAGCACCACCATATTAAATCGCGAGAGACCGTGTCATAAGCTTTCTCCAAGTCAATAAAGACCATATGTAGGTTTCTTTTCTAAGAAAAGTCGCGATGTTGGAGTCCTTAAAATAGTCAAAAACGAGGAGGGTCAAACCTTATTCAAGCCGAAGGAGGTGATGTAAAGGTGGAAAGGATATTTCAAGGAACTTATGAATATTGCTGATGACAAAGATTTCCTTCTCGATATTGAGCCAAACATAAGTATGGTCGAACTCTTGATGAAGTTAGGACGCAAATGAACAAGATGCAAAAAGAAGCTAATGGCCCAGATGGAATTCCTATGGAAGCATGGGTCGGATGCCGAGAAGAAGGAGTCACGACCATGACGAACCTTTTTAACAAGATATTGGGAGAAGAACGAATTCCTAATCAATGGAGAGCAAGCACGATTATACCCTTATTCAAAGGCAAAGGAGACCCTCAGGAGTGTGGTAATTACAGAGGTATCAAGCTAACTTGCCACTCCTTGAAACTTATGGAAAGGATCTTAGCAACAAGGCTGAAGAACGAGGTGGAAATATCGGTTAACCAATTCGGATTTGTGGCCGGCAAATCCACAATCGATCCGATCTTCGCACTAAGACAAATGAAGGATAAATATGGAGAAAAGAAAAGAACCCTACATATGGTCTTTATTGACTTGGAGAAAGCTTATGACACGGTCCCTCGTGATTTAATTTGGTGGTGCTTGAGAAAACAAAATATCCCTGACGCATATGTACGGCTTATGAAAAATATCTATGAAGCCTCAACTTCTTGCGTTAGAACGACAGTTGGAGACTCTAAACCTTTTCGGGTTGAAATTGAATTACATCAAGGATCTGCTCTAAGTCCTTTTTTATTCAATATAATTATGGATACGATAACGAGAGACATCCAAAAGCCATCTCCTTGGTGTATGCTATATGCCCATGATATAGTACTATGCGAAGAGACAAAGGAGAAAGTATTCGAAGAAGCCGAAAAGTGGTCAAAACGCTTAGATGGATATGGTTTAAAGGTCAACAATCGAAAAAGGGTATACATGGAGATGAACGTTACAGGCACCCCATAGCTGGATGACCAATTAAAGTACCCAAAAGTAGACAGGTTTCATACCTAGGCTCGATGCTACATCAAGAGAGAGGTTGCGCAAAAGAAGTCAATGCACGGATCCAAAAAGGATGGCTTAAATGGCGAAGTATATCCGGTGTAATGTGCGACAAGAAGATGCCAATATGGTTGAAAAGCAAAGCTTACAAATCCATCGTAAGACCGGTGTTACTCTATGGAAGTGAAACATGGGCATTAAACGCTACGGAAGAATTACAAGCCACGGAGATGAGAATGATACGGTGGAGCTTGGGGTATACTAAACTCGACCATATGACGAATGACTGTCTCAGAGCAAAAATGTGTATTCAACCTATGGCGGACTTGATAAACGAAAATCGGTTAAGGTGGTATGGTCATATACTAAGAAGGAAGACGAATGATGTAAATCGAAAAGTATTGGACATGGAGGTGCCGGAGAAGAGAGGAAGAGGACGACCTCATGTTACGTGGAAAGGTCAAGTAGACAAAGTTATGATGACTAAGAAGATAAATCCGGACATGGTTCTTACTCGATCAAGATGGAAGAAACTTTTTAAAACAAACTCCACGACTGTGGTACCATATGCATGATAAATAAGAATCTTTATATTTACGCATACCAGTAATAAATTTTACAACTGTTTTTATTTTTATTACCATAAAATTACTCATAATTTTACTTATTGTTCTCTACCCTTGTGTGGGTCATTATGACGCACCACTTCCATTCCGGTTTCCATTCTTATGCGATACATATGAATTATGGTAAGATCCACTCTGAATCAAGATGAACAATGGAAACGGATTTATGTAAAGGAGTGTGGAGTCGATAAACGTTGACGCATGATTAATGCTTGACATGTTCTTTTAAAAAATAATATGTATAAAAATCAATTGGTAACTAGTATTTAAATTTTTTTTGTAATAATTATTTGATTTAGAATAATATTGTAAGCCTTATGACCGCTCTTGAATTATAAAGTGAGGGCGTGTCGTAAAAGGGACGTTTTTATTTTATAGAAGTTAAATATGATGTTTATTTAACTTTGACGATATATGATTTTTATGTATTGATTAATGATAAATGTAAATTATAATATTAATTATTTTTGAATTATACGGACCATGATAATTGGGTGAAAATTACTTCTAAAAATGAGTACAGTCTGCTAAATTTTAATACGGATATAAATAATTTTAGGCAATCGAGCCCAATCCGGTGGAGTTAAATCATGACTACGAATGCTATGAAATATTCGATGAAAATGGTATGTACATTATAATATGTTTTTAAATTTATTGTATTCTAATTCGATTATACCTATATATTATTTCTCATTCGTCTGATTTTTTTTAACAATATACATTTAATTTTAGACAAGTTGATATCTCATTTGTACATAAATCCTATCAACCATGCAAACGAAAAGTATCCCGGAGTTTGGGGAGATATGGGACAAAGTTAAAAATTTTTGATAAATATTTATTTTACTATAAAAAAGTTTTTATTAAAAAACAAGTTTTAATTCAAAATGTATTCTTCTTACTTAATTAAATGAAAATTGGCATAAATTTGGTTTCGGAAACGCAAAGTTATCTAAATAAATATACAGTATTATTTAAGTATCTTTATAAAACTTTACGTTAACAATAACGTTTTTATATATAACGGAATTTAAGATGATCCACTAAGATCGACTGAGAAGAGTTAAACTGTTTTATTAATGGATTTTAATAAATGTTACATTAAAAAAAAATGGATATTTGTTTTTGTGTTAGACAAAAAAAACCTATAAACCTTCAAACCGTCTCATTAAATAAAAAATTTTCAAACCCAAATATTATGACTTCAAGATAAAAGTGTCATCAGAGGAGATTTGCCGTATGCCTTATTATCTCTCGATATCCTCTACAACGCGAATGGCGCTCTTTTAATGAATTTCCAACAATTACGCGATTTATTTTATCAGGTAATGTAGCTTTTGTTAAACGACTCGATTTTAGCCGATTTAAAAAAAAATTGTTAAATAAATATTTTATCCAAAAAATTATTACTAAACTTGAAGATTTTGATAATATTGCCCAAGATTTGAACATATATTACCGAAATCATAAAGCTTATGCAATATTTTTCTGAGAGTTAGACGTTTTTAAAAATGGGCTCAAATCCAGCCATTTAACAACACTAGTAAGATGTTGTGAAAAAATAACCTTACTAATAAGGTAGTATGGTATTGTTACAAAACCTCGATTTAGCCCATTCAATTTTTAACCAAAAAAAATAAGCTCCAAGATTTTGTCAAAAGATGGCAGAAAGGTTCGGCTATATTTTGACAAAATCTCAAAGCTTTAAGAAAATATATATTTTGGCCAAAACTTTGGAGGTTTTTATAACAACACGAATATTTAGGGTTGCCAATCAAAATTATAAATTTTCATTTATATTGCAATTTTTTTTTTCGGTGCTAAAATTTTGAAAAATACGAATTTAGTTTGGAAAGCTTTTACCTCATCTCCTAACCTCCGTTACTTGCAGCGAAGTGGCCGGGCTTAATTACGCGGAAAAGGATTGCGAATTGGCCAGCGCCCATTTTTTCAAATGTTTCCTTTCTTCCTCTACATCCAAAACTAAGGAAGAAAATAATGATACCGTTATCATGCATAACCTTAATGAAGAGAATGCTGCTGGAGATAAAAATGCCAAAGATTTTCAAGGAACCGATAGTGAGCCATTTATAAAGCGATTGGTGACTATGTATCCGACAGAGGTTGAAGAAAATGAAAATGGCGGGATATGCGAGAAGCGAAAAATTTTAAAAGATTTGATGGATGGTTTGATTTGAAGTCTACTTAAATTCAAATATGTTAGCGGCAATATGTTTTTTCCTGCAATATATTATTTTTTTTTGCGTTTTTTTTAAAATTTGATTTTACGGGAAATGTATTCCAGCATGTTTAGAAAACCTATCCTATGAATAATAGACAATTTTGACGTTAACCTTTAAGTCATAATCTATGAAAAAACGAATATAAATTATATTAAGCAAAGTGCATAGCAAAATTGTCTTAAATTAATAGGTTTGGTATTTCAAACATAAAGGAATTTATTTCCAGTGAAAACAGATTTTTAAATTATAATAAACGCGCTAAAAAATGTCGCAAACATATATCTATATATATATAAGTATTAATATTTTAAAATTCGTGTTTGCCGTAAAAAACATAAAAGATCCCTTGTTTAAATTTAGATATTAATATCGCTGATTCAAAATTATAACCAAGTTTCTAAAAAAGAATTTGTCTTTGAAAATTATATTATCTCTGCCTTTTTATTTCATTAATTCTCTAAATATTCCATTTTAAAAGATAAAGTAATAAGTTATATTTTTAGATTTTTTATAATGTCACAAAATGAAGAGTAAAGAAGTATTGAAAAAAGCAAACCTGTTTGCGTTTATTAAAAAGTTGCTAACGTCAAACGATAATTTTATCTTTGCACGATGCCATTTGAAATGCATTATTTGCTTTTGCAACGCTCAATTTGTGCGAACTATAATATACAAATGATTTTGGCTTAATTTTTGGCACATTTTTTTCCCCTTAAAAATATGAATAACAAATATTATTTAAAATAATTTTTAGAATTATAAACAAACTTAGCAAATTTATATAATAAACCATAATATGCTAAATTTATTTATAGGGTAGATTAAGAATCAATTTAATTATAAAATGAGTTTGAAAATTTTAATTGCCGCTTATGATGGCCCAAATTTTTTTTTCCTACTAATCTATGATCTCTAAAATTAAACACAAAAATAGCTCATCAAAATATTGCGGCCAGAAACATTGTAATTGATCACTCGAGCAAGGAAATATTTGTAATTTTATTTTTAAATTCGTAAAATTAACGATTTCTTTTTAAATAAGAACTCCTACTCCTTTATTTTCTCTTTTCAGATATTGACAATTTAATTAAATATCATAAATTAAATATAAAAACTTTGCCTTAAATAATTATATGTCCCAATGTCTGCAACGGTATCGCCTCTCATTTTCTGACTTTATTTCCTCGCAAATAAATAAGAAGCTAGTATTGTATATTAAGAGCAAGACTCAAAATTTTATTTAATTTATATAATAAAAAATTATTTAATTTTTATAATAATAAAAAATAGAAATAAAGTACATGTCTGCCCTTAGCTTACTCAACGAACTCTTTTACAGTCATATCGATTTAGAAATCCATTCCAAGTAAAAAATATCTTAAAAAATTCTTTAGAGTAAAATGAATGAAATTATATTTCGTTTTCTTTAACTTTAACGGATTATTCAATAACATTTCTTTATTTTTTTTGCTATTTTAATTTAAAAATAAATCATGGAATTTTCTTCTAAAGAAACGCTGTCTAATAGGCTTCCGTAATTAGTAGGGTTGGCAAATATCATAATATTTTATATAAATCAAAAATTGACTTATTTGATTAAATTCCAATTTATTTGATTAAAATCAAATAAATTAACGAATTAATAATAATTTAAAAAATATTTTCGGAGGGAAAATATTCTGAAATAAAGTTATCAAAATAACATGCATTCATTTTATTAAATTACATCTGTTTTCCTATGGAATTTATGATAAAAACTATTGTTGTATTTATCAATATTGAATTGACTAAAATGTATTGTATCATAATGTTATTAATATTTAATATTTGCCCATTTATGATATTAATAATACAATCTTAATTTATATAATATATTTTTAAATGTAATGTTATCAATGTTAGATTATATAAAATAAAGCGTTATAAAGGGCAATTATATATATATATTTATAAGTAAATAATTAATTTAATGTTAATCCTCCGTATGAATGTATTTGTTATCTAAATGATTTATTTATACATTCCAATGCAAAAAAAAATTGACTATTGTATTAAATCTAATAATGTATCTCTTTCGGATCTAATATCATTTTGATGTTATCATATGCTCAAAATAGGCTATTTAGAATGGAATATATTCATTTTGAATTAAGGATACTTTGCAATTCATGTTTTATATAAATTCTTGTTAAAGGCGATGTAAATCAAATTTCAGGTCTGGAACTATTATTATTTTTTGACCCGCGTTAATTTTGATTTAAATGCTATTTTTTTTTAAAAAAAAGTATTTTCTCTCTTGATCACTATTTATACCATTTTTTAATAGTTTAATATAATGATAAGATTATTGTTACTGAACACCATGTATAGTTTCACGATAAAATGCTATTTAAAATTGGTAAAATAATAGGAATCTACATATAGACCAATGCCTGATGTAGGCTAGGGAGGTTGTTATATATTAGATATAGGCAAAGGCCTTATTTTGACTAGGATTTTTCTTTAAAATGAAAATGCTAAATTTCATAGTTCCACAACTTTTACCTTCCTTAACGGGTTGCGACTGGTTAGAAGCTTTGCCCAGCTCAAACTTAGGACTCCTCCTAACAAACGAAGAATTACGCAATGCAATAGGTCTTCATCTCGGTTGTAAAATACTGGCCAACTCTGCATGCACCTTATGTTCCCACCCCGTTGATTGTTTCGGACATTACCTCTTCATTGTCTATTCTCTAAAAGTAGACACTCTCGGCACAGTGCAGTTAACGGCACCATTCTCCGCGCTCTACCCTCAGCTCAATTCCCTGCAACCCTCGAACCCTCTGGCCTCTCAACTGAAAGTAGTATCCGGCCAGATGGGCTGACCTTAATACCTTGGAGTAATGGAACTTCTTTAGCATGGGATTACACTTGCATCGACTGATTCCCTCCCTCGTTTAGTAACAACTTACTCGTGCGAGCGGAAAACTCTAAAATTAACAAATACATTTCCCTTACCAATTGCAATCTCATACCAATTGTATCCGATACAACCGGTTTTTTCGGCAATCATGCCCTAACCTTATTCAAATCCCTTGGTAAAAAAATTCGCGCCATCACTGGTGACCCATAGAAAGGTTTCTATCTTCGTTAGCGTGTATCTATTGATATATGCAGATCTAATTGTATCGCCATCCACGGCTCCCTTTTTTGACCTTCTCCCTCCCAACATATAATTTATTATACTAATTATATACAATTTACATTTTGTAATATTTTAAAAATACTATTTACACATAAATTAAATAATAAATGGATATTCATTAATTAAAGAGAAAAAAAAAGAAGATATATATTATATACCTCCGTTTGATTTCTATAAAACATACATATGGGGTAGGGTTAGCTTCAAAAAATAAAATAATGTATATATATGGGGCTTAAAATATATTTTTTAGTATGGAACTATTTACCGGCACCTGCGTTCCGTATCAAGAGACTAATTATAACGTGAAAAATATATATTAAAAAAATTTCCATAGTTACATTAATGGTGATCTGTATCGGGCCTAATTTTTCAAGCCCTGCCCGAGAAGGAATTTATTTTTATTTGTCCCGAAAAGTCACGACTTGATTCGAAAAAAAAATTATTTGTCCACCAGGCCTTGTTCTAGTTATTTAAAATATAGAATATTTTTTACACTAAACATAATCGAGTTTTTGATCTTTCAACAAACAAATTAAAAAAAATTATTAGCGCCTTGTTTTTTTGCAAAAATTTTAAAATATATCAATTTTATTTAAAACATTTAAGTCTCGGTCAGGCCAGAATTTTGTTTTAAAATTTTAGGCCCGACCCAGCCCGAACCGAATTCTCTTTTAAAATTAGTCTAGATCCAAAACCTTTCGGGCCGGGGCTACTTTTTCAGATCTCTAACTTACATATTTTTGTTTAATTTTTTTTTCCATTTTATCAATTGTTCTTTTTTTCTCTTATATATTTCAATATCTAAGACGAGTTAGAATGTATCATAATTCAGTGGCTTGTAAGCCTGGTCTAAACATAAAAATTTTTTTTATCAGACCTTGTAGGTTATGCATAAATTTTAAATTGAATCTTATTTGTGGCTCAATATCTTCTATTGAACGAATATAAATGGTTTTCACAAATTATTCATTTAGACTTCGGCTTTGTTAATCTTTATTTTGACTTTATAGGTCGACTTTTTGTTTAAGTTACTTTATTATTATTTTTTTTAGATTTATATCAAAAATATAGGAATAAAAAAAAATTTAGATTTAAATTATTAAAATCGATAGTTTTTATTTATGATTTTCAAAACAACCTGATAGAGTGGTTATATATAGTGTTGCCGAAAATATCGATTTTGGCGCTTTTTTTTGACAAAAAATTACCAACTCAAGTTTTTGCCCGAAAAGTATCACCTGAGCCTTAAGATTTGATCAAAAGAGGGCCAAATATTTCGGCCGTCTATATGCTAAATCTCTAGGCTTAGGTATTGTGACTAATTTTTAATTAATGGGATTGCAAGTCTTTGACGAAAATAAAATCCTTCTTCTGTTTTGAACGAAATTCGTCTGCCTAGTTTTTTTATTTATTAGGTCTTGTGCTTGAGGACCAAATTATAAGAGTAGATATGATGACTGGAACGAAATAATATTGCCACGTATTTATAAAATATCAATTTTTCTGCAGGTGCTAAATCTTTGTTTAAGTTTGATGGATCCAAAAGGGTGATTGAAAAATCACATGCTAAGAACTTGTCGTCCTCCCAAGGTAACTTAGTGACGTCATACTGTCTTCTATGCCAGGAAACAAACTGGTGGGTTCTATCATGGAAGAAATCCCAGCTGGAAATATAAACACGCTTAATTAGCGAGTTGCATAGTGTGCCAGGGAGCTTGCCCGCTACTTCTGATGCATTGAAGGTAATGTCTGCCCTAGCCAGCCTATTTATAATATCTAGCACATTTATGTGACATGATCAGTTGATATTTAAAGGAATAGCCGAGCAAAAACTAAATTACAAAATGGATTGCTAAATACAAAGACTTATCTGATCAATATTATTTCTTTCTCTTCTTTTGGTCCTCTGCCAAAGACCTAATGGAAAAATGGGCAGGCGAATTTCGGTAAAAACAGAGGACCCAAGAGAAGGATTTTATCATCGTCTAGTACTAGTCATTAAATCGAATTTCCATTGCCTTGTTAACTCATTTCCCTCTTATTTTGTTAGATTTACATTTTAAATCTTATTTTTTCGTTGTTTTATATTTATATATTATTTTTTAAATTTGTATTGTATTCTTCATTTTACGTTACCTAAATTAATCATAATTTAATCTCTTCATTTTTGCGGGAATAAAAATGTTTAGCAAAGCTTATCATCTCGACGCCTTCAGAAAATTGTGGCCTAAATACAATCCTTTCAAATTAACTCCCAACATAAATCCATTGACATCTTTTAACCCCATCTTTGTCGACGAATGGGCAGCTTGTTATTATTCTAAGATATGGTCGATGGTAAAATATATCATTTTGTTTTATACTCAGTGTTAATTTTTAATTAGTTGATTCGGTTCATCTAGTTGGGTGCAATGCAAATATTTTTTTTTAAATATAAGAAATGTCAGAGAAATAAGGCGCAAGTTAGTCTCTCGAAGTTAGGTGGTAAAAAAAATAAATGATAAAAATATACACTCATTTTTTGGATTCAATTTAATTTTAAATATCCTAAACGTAAAAAGGTAAATTATTTTTCTCAAACGTAAAAACGAGGCTTGAACATCATTTTAACGAAATTTTTAAACAACTCAAGAATTGGATTTGTAAAAATATTTTACAAAATGAGGCCAGTTATTATAAAATAATTTTGATAATAAAAAATTTGCAAAAAATATTGGTAATTTTATTTGAAATAATGATTGTGGTGGTAATAAGAAAAAAAAATTGCAGTAAAGCATTGGTAGATTTAAATTTTCCGTAAAAAAAATATAGTCCTTGTAAGCAAATGGAATTTATAATATTATACTTCATTTAATTCTCAAAAATGAATCATAAAAGGTAATTCCATGACAAATCGACCAGTGATTCGGACGACCATCTCAAAAATGGATGAAACTTGGCATACTAGTTATTTATGATGTAAATGTTAATAAAATCAAAATTTTAGAGAGAGAGCTAGCTAAACCAGTTTTAAAGATTTACTCCTTCAAAGTCGAATATCGCGCAACGCGTGATTTCATTAAACTTTTTTTTAAAATACTTAAGATAGAGTTACAAATATATATCATTTAATAACCCCTAAATTTTACATTGAAAAATATCGAGAAAAAAAATAAATATTTCTAAGTGTTTTCTTATTTCCGGTAAGAATTAAAAATTATCATTATTAAGAAAGGATTTTTTGGGAATATTGATATTTTCTAAAAATGTTCAATATCTTTATATTAAACTATTTAATAAAAAATCTCGATAGCCATTTTTGTTTTTTTATTATTTTTATAAATAAAAAATATGTCATAGATGACGTTATATTTAAAAATCATTATAATATAATATATGTAATATAAATATATATTATATTGGTATTAAAAAAAATCTATTGAGTATAACCAATATGATGTCCTGGGGCGATATATAAGCAAGCAGCTCATGCAGATATAATTATTATTTTTATTAGGACGTTATATTGTAAAATAAACATTTTAAAATTTTATATACAAACTATTACAAAAATATATCTCTTATCTTTATGGTATTCTATTTTGCGCTAATTTATAGAATTTCCTGAGGCCATTTGTAGATATATCCTGTCTTTATACTATCCTATTATTTGATATTTCTTATGGAGTAAAAGAAGGATGTGATGGTCCATTGGGATGTAAAAAAGAAATATATATTTCCTCAGTAATTTCATTCTTTTTAGTACTGTGGCTAACCACCAAAAATTTCATAGACACATGTTTAGAAAAAAAGCGGTCCGGACCCTGGTCCTAAATAAAAGACCGACAATATATATTTAAGAGGTTTTTTGTGGTTAGTCAAAGTAATAAAAAAGAATGTAATTACTAAGGGATATATATTTCATTTTTTACATTACCATGGACCTTCATCATCCTTCTTTTACCCCACTATTGAGGAAAAGTGATGGCTGCTCATTAATCAAAAACGTTGTGCAGATTTCTGGAAAACATTTCCATATTTTTTATTTCGTTTGTAAAAATATTTAATTTGTTAAAAATTGATAAGAATTTATAAATATGTTATCGTAACAATTTTTTTGGAACTTTAAATGATTTTATTTGCAAATAAATTAAAAAATATGGAAATGTTTTTCATCAAATCTGCACAACACTGTAATAACGAAATAGATCCCATAACATCGATAATACATACTCACAAATTGTCGCCTCGTAAAATTCTATTGATAAGCGTAAAATGGAATATTATAAAAAACAAGTGGTATTTTTTTTATAATAGTTTGTATATAAAATTTTAAATTATGTTTATTTTACAATATAGCCTCCTAATAATAATTATCTCTGTATGGGTTGTCTGCTTACATATCGCCCAAGGACATCATACTGGTTATACTCAATGGATTTTTTTATATTTTAATACCAATACAATTCATACTTTTATTAAATATAATATATAATAATGATTTTTGAAAATAACGCCACATCTATATTATATATTTTCATTATAAAAATTTAAATAAAATTAAAAAGGTAATAATCATTTTTAGAGGCAAAAAAAATCCCTTCTCAACAATGTTAATTTTGTATTATTACCGGAAATACTTGGAATTTTTTATTTTTTTTTGATATCTTCCAAAATAATATTTTAAGGGCTATAAATTATATATAATTTTTTACTCTATCTTAAGTATTTTTTGAAAAAACAAGATTTAATAAAATCTTGCGTTGCGCGTCGACTTTAAAGGCTTATATATTTGGATCTGGTTGAGCTAGTGCTCTAAAATTTTGAGTTTACTAAAGTATACAAGACATAACTATGCCGTCTATAAATCTCGTTTTGGTCGATTTGACATGGAATGACCTAAAATTTAATTTTTTTAATCAATTTTTTCTAGGTACTAGGCGCCGATTTACACTCATATTTTTTGGATTCTCGCGGTAACCTTTTACCCGATAATAATTTGAAAAATGTTGGCAAAAGGTATTATTTTTTAAATAAATTTAAATATAAATTATATCCAGTCCGACATTTTTTTAAAAAATAGTTTTTAAGTGAAGAATTTTTAAAAAATAGTATTTTTCGCGAGATTTACTATTTTAATTTCATTCTTCTATTACACGAAGATATAATGTATGTTTCTTAATGAAAATTTAAAAATAGCTTTTCTAAAATTAACGAGATTTTAAATGATCGTTAATTTTTATCATTTACTCCAACCAAAAAGATTATTAAAGGAGTATCTTAGCGTTGGTTCTGCCATCAAACAAAGACAGGCAATAGCGAATTTTAAGGGCATAAGCATTTCAAGAGACATTATAAACGTAGAACCCTTTATCAAAATTGAATTTTCCGCGCCAACGCAATTGGATACCGTTTGAAATCAAATTCTATTAATCGTTACTATTTTTATTGCCAAAATTGGAGAGATTGTTGTAATTGCAATAACCGACATTTCAATTTTTTTTTTGAAAATGGTTAAACAAATATTTATATCATGATAGCCTTCGATCCCTAAGTTACCTCGTATAAAATTTTAAAAACAAACCGAATCAGTGCTTATCTCTTATAAAAAAGGGATTTTTAAAATAATTATAAATTGGATACTCATTTTTAAACATATTTTCGCGCTTTTATTTTGTTTTTATATAAACCTCTTCGCAAACCTCATTAGTTTTATAATAATAATATACATATTAAAAATATTTTTTTTCGTAAATGTGCATTTTTCTATTTTTTAATAGTGTATCAAATGTGGATATATATTTTTTATTATTATACCAATATCCTATTAATCACGGAAATATAAAATAATGTATTATAATATTTAAAAAAAGCGTTTGAATTCTTTACATTCTAGATCACATAATTTTTTTTTTATTAAATATAAGAATTGCTGAATAAATCAACTAAAGCACCATTACAAATAGTATTAATAAATAATATAAAAAATAAAATAAAATACTGTTTTATTGAACATTTTATATAGGGATATATAGAATATGTTTTTTTTAAAAAAATAATATTAATATCACAATGTATAAGAAATGATATCGGTGGGATAAAAGTTTTTACTATATTTTGCTATACGTATGGATACGATTAATAAGACTCGTTCAAAAGAATTGAATACGAATTATTTATTATTCGATCGTTTTTTGATTAGGCCTACTATGGATTTCATGATTTTTAAGGGGGGGGGGGGGATAGAAGTTTATACACAAGGTTTATTTATTTAAACCTATATAATATATCATGTTATTTGATTTTGAATTGATTCATATTTCCTAAAGAAAGACTATGCGCTCTTCTCCGGTCGTCCCTTTTTATGATGATGCGTCGTTTTTTTATTCTTTGATTTAACTTTGAATTTGTTGATCCATTTCTGAAATATTCAATATTGTGTTTTAAATTTTAAGAGATGAATAGCTAAATATTATAATTATAGCTACGACTTCTAAGCTGAAACTCTTGACATTGTTAAACGGCTAGATTTGAGCCTATTTTTAAAATAAGCTAAAACTGTCGAAGCCTCAGGATTTCGCTAATAGATGTCCAAACCTTTATGCCATCTATGAGCAAAATTCGGGCATGCGTAATATTTTTCTGGATAGAATATTGAGTAAGCCATTTTTTAAAATCGACTCGTGAGCTATTTAACAACACTAAGTGAGTAGACTTTCTAAATATGAACTACATTCTTTTTGCTCACAAATTTTATAAGCGCGCACTTGAATATGCAATTTTAAAAAACAATATAAATCAATCTAATTTCATTCCTTATTAAAGTTTCCTTATTGTGCGTAATTTTTTATTTAAACAAAAGTACAACGTCTATTTATTACCTCTAACTTTTTCTTCATTTTATCCTTCCACGGAAGCGCAATTCCTTTTTGATGGGAGTATATCAATCGTCCAAAATCCCTGTCTTCGTGTCCGCATATCAAATATTTAGCGCCAATCACCATGTCTGGACAAACGCAAGAGGATTCTACCCAAATATAAAGCTCGGATCCTTTATAAATTTTGATATTGGAATGGAGAAACGAATGTAGGATCTTTACCTTGAGCATGCTTATCTCGCCTTGGTATTCTTTGGACATCATGGTAACTTGCACCACTGTATTTATTACATATTTTGAATATATTTAACAAATAATAATAATACTTTTAAATGTTAATATTATGATAATTATTATTATGCATAAATGTGTAAATTCATAACGTACCATATTGATATTTATTTTCGTAAAAGAGTTGCTTTTTAAGTTTATTCAATTTGGGACACAAACATTCTATAATAATTTTTTTTTAAATGATATAATATAATTTAAACAGTGCATAAGTAAATAATAAAATGATTATTAAATTAGGAATAGATATTGTTAATTTTTTTTAATCATCAAACCCTTTACGCAAAATTGTTATAGGAACCATCTATAAAGTAACTCATAACTACATTTTTGGGAAACTAATTAAAGCCCTGAGAGGAGGTTCAATTATTTCTTGATAAACTGGTACTTTGTGTACTATTTTGATAATTTAATGAATATTCATGTTACGATTATAATCAAGCCAATGTTAAATTTTTTTTAGCCCTAACCAGGACAAAGGCGGCTCGAGGAGGCGACATCCTCGCGCTAATATATTATTTTATTTGTTAATTTTACCAACTTTTGACATTTTAATAGATAAATGCAATTATGTTACGTTATTTATATATAAAATCGATAATTTCATTTATTAAACTTTTCAGCATGGTGTATTAACTTTTAATAGAATATGATAGATACAATATTATAAAATCTAACGTAAATATGAAGGATAGCAACACTATTGGGAAAATGACATAAATGGAAATAATTTATAAAAACGATTTAGACTGTTCATTGAATTAATTTATATATTATCAAATAGTTAAAATCATATTGTTCTTGTTCGAAAAGCAGTTCTAATTTAAAAGACCGGACTAGTAGTATCAAATTTATAAAATGAATTTTCGAAAGAAATAACATATATAAAAAAAATTTTAATGTTTCAAACGATATTCTAGAGTGTCGTTAAAACTCTCGATTTAGTCAATTAAGAAAAAATTAGATTGTGGGAAAAAATATATTACCTAAGCCTGGACATTTTACCAAAAATGCAAAAGAGGACTATACCTTTGTCATCTTTTACCTAAATCTCAAGGCTTAGGTAATGTATTTTGGTTAAAATCTTGATTTGGCCTCTTTTTTAAAAATCAGTAATTTTACTAAAAATGGCTCAATAGCAATAAACTGACCCCAGGCAGAGATAAATGATCTGATCCACACTTCATTTTTTTTTCTATATTATTTACATCAAATTGGTGATTTATTTCTTTTTTAAAAACATATGTTTCCAATGTTAGATGTAATTAAATTAGCTAAGAATATATTCTTTCTGAATAATAAATTAAATTGGCGTCAACGAGTGTTGTTGAAAGGCCTGATTTTACTAAATTTTAAACCCGCCCACCCCCTGTTTAAGATTTTAGCCAAAATATTATTATGTTAGCCTAGAGATTTTGCTCATAGATGGCAGAGAGTGGGCCTCTATTTGTCACCAAACGAGGCTTACATAATATTATTTGGATAAATCTAAATCGGGCCATTTTCAAAAATCTACACAAATCGGGCTTTTTAACAATACTAGCGTGAAACGATAGCCAATCATTAAAAAATTTATTTATTAAAATTTTTATTTAATTAGTGGGCACCCTGCAAACTGCAAGAGACCAGAAGAAAATAAAATAGAACAAATGAGTAGGGCTGTGCCGATCAACGAATCTTTTACCGATCCGATATTATCCGAAGCGCAAACCCGATCCGATATTTATATCGATCTTTATTTACTATCTATCTTTGAACCAATTTCATAAATAAATCAATATTTTCTATTTTAAAAAAAAATAACTAACTTTCATAATTATTTATTTTGTTCTTTTTATTAATTTAAAAGTTAATAATCTCTATGGCCAATGTTTAAGAATGAATGCATTGTTAAACGGTTATTTAGCAGATTTTTTTAAAAAAGGCTCCATTTATTCGATTTTCAAAAACGGTTAAATCAGATTTTTACCAATATTACATAAACCTTTAAATTTCGTTAATAGAAACTCAAACCTTTTTGCCATCTGTGAGAAATCTCCTAGCTTGGATAATTTATTTTTTGACTAAGATCTTGAGTTAGTCGTTTTTTATGTCGGAGATAACGAAAAATATTATTAAATCTTCAGCTACTCGATCTTTTAAAATTTTACAAAATTTTGCTTTCTTTTATTAATAATTTAATTAGTATGAAATTACGTATAAAATATAAGAAATATAATTTATTAAACTATCATAAAAATAACCAAAATCAATTAAATAAAATATCGGATCCGATTATCCGATCTTTTTAAAAACGCGAAGGCCCCGATCCAATATTAAATATCGGCACAGTCCTAAGAATCGGCGATGGATTCAAATACATTTCAGATAAAAGGATAAAAGTGGAGTACGAGTTATAATCGACAGGTATCTAGGAAATATTTTTTATGGCAATAGTCGTAGAACTCTGCAAATTCATTTTCTTTCAGCCCTAGTCTGGCCCAAAATATTTAAGCCAGAGCCCGGCCCGAAACATTTTAAAAAAATTTAAATCGGATCCCAAATTTATGTTCTTATTTTATTCCAGGTCAAAAAATTTTAAAATAAAATAAATAAAACATTTTTATATATAAATGAAGTAAATGATTAATTACTTTGTCCTTATCACAGATGAAATGTAATTATCATTTTATTTGATTAAAACAGGAAGAAAACATTATTTTTGATGTTATTTTTTAATTTTTCAAAAATATTTTTAAAACCCGAACTTGGTTCAATTTTTTCAGTCCATATCCCGGTTTTGGGCCGAGTTGCATTCTAAATAGACTTTCCAGTGCAAACCAGCCAGGACTAATGAACTATCGATTGGGAGAAATTAAAATAGTTAATATGGGAATATCGAACATTGGGTTTTGGAAGTAGAAATAAGGGATGAAAGGACACTTTAAATCACAAGTTTTAGATCTAACAATAAGCTTTTTACTAAGAAAAATAAACGTCTAAGCATACAATAGTTGTAGAAAAGTATCATAGGTGATGACGAGAAAAGGCAAGGCTCTAAACTCAAGATATAATTCGCCATATTATTGTGCCCCTTCGAATACAATCCTCACTCCCTCCATACGCGGGTCACCTCCTTCACATGCACAAAGGCCTTCCTCGATGGTAGTTCACTTCTTTTCTAGGTCGATTGAAGATCTTCCAACAGTGCCTTCTCCCCCAACCTGAGGTGATAGCCTTAGGCTACTCTCTTCCTCCCCTATATGGTAACTGGAAATAAATAAATGGTTTGGAAGCGAAAGTATGTTAGAGTAGGATTCGTTTTCACAAAAAATTTGATGAAATTTTGTAATCCCAATTTTTAAAGGTAATGGAAGAATCTAAGTAAACAGAGAGTTAAGTTATTATGCTATTAAGGTATGAAAATGAGTAATTTAGAGCAGAGATTCAACCCGAACTTAAATCAAATCACTTAACCTTTATTAACCGTTATTATTTACATAACCAAACCTTAACTTTAAAATTCTGTCACCTAGACTTGAGCAGAACTTATAATAGTTATGTAAACAAGTATAAATCTCTCCTAAATCTTTTAGAGATCATTAACAGTCAATTTTGATGGAAAAATATTAGTTATGATCAGTAATTACTCTTAGATATTATTGTATATGGTTCCAAACTTAGTTTATAGAAGTGTTTATTTTTTGTCAACCGAATCAGAGGCATGGTTTATTTTTATCTGCACTTGAACAGAACCTATATTATTACAATTAGGTGAAAAGAAGAATGGATTTAGAACAGAGCGGTCTACAGAGACTTTGTAAGATTAAGAACATGATAGTAAATTTGGGAGACACAAGAATGGTTCCACTTGTTAAGGAGTTAAACTTTATGGTTAGCATTTTATAAGAAAGGAGATTTCGAAGAATATATGAAAGTAACTGAAATTATATATAAATTCTAAATCTTGACTCCTTTATGTTTTTAGGGTTTGTGGAGACAATCTTAGAGTCGCTAAGGTAATAGAGATTATTAGAGATGCGATATAAAATTTTAACACAGACTATTTATGGGATGTGTGGAGGCATCGTCTAGAAATAAGTCATAAGGATCTGGATTAAATCTGAAGAAGGAAGAAAAGCAAAAGAGTTTTAAGTTAGGAGATTAAAAATTGATGGTTAGATCTGGGCGTATTTGGATGAGGTATTTCTATTGCAATATGATGCTAATTTTGAAAGAGAATTGATGGAGAAAAGAAAAATTGCCTGAAGATGGAGAAAGGTGGACACTTCTTGCTAAACGAATGCTTAATAGGATCTATTTTATATAGGACAGTGTTTGACTAACAAGGAAGGCAAAGAGTCCTTGATGTAACAAAAGTGGGGTTGTTTATTAATGCCTAATTTGTAGAGATGGAAAACATTCATAAAGATTGATTTGTTTTAGAGATATAATTAAAAATGTTGTTATAAAATAAAATTAAAAGATTAAATAAAGATTAAAATACAGTTTTTTCGAGCGTTTTAAATACTGCAAAAAGTGACCTAAAATAACCTTTTATATTAGAAATATGCATCTTGTAAATAAAAAAAATCCCATTAAATATACTCAAAAATAAAAATGAATTAAATTAAATTGTAAAATTACTTTTGTCCTCGTTTACATTTTGACTAAGGTAAGCATACGAGGCCTTATTCAAAGTCTGTTTTCCATTAATTTGGGAATCTAAATCAGGTGTCGAGGGGTTGTATCTAGTGCTTCTATGCTTAGAAATTGGCTTATTTCTACCAGCATCATTATTATGATTGTCTTCATTGATGATAGATTGAGGGGATATACAAACGTCCAACTCGTATAGCGGAAATTTGTCACAATTAAGATTTAAAGGCCAAGAAATGTTGAATCTCTTAAGCAAGGGTTCGCATCCTTTTCTGACCTCGTCGCAAACATGCTTACATGGCAAGATCAAGTCCTTTGGCTCATTCATTTGGTTGAAAGTAGTAGGAGAGTGAGGGTTCTGGCTAGAAGATCTTGCAGTTATAGAATCAAAATTATAAGTCAGGCTAGGGTGGAGATTAAGGTTGTCTCCATAAGGTGATCGCAGTTCTAGGTCCAGATTAGACATACTATTGAAAGGTGAAAACGAATCCAAGATATCGTATTTAGAATTTTCGAAGTTTTTGCCGCCATCTATATTTTTGATTGATTTAAATAAATTCTTAGCATAGATGTCACCCTTAACATTTACCATATCCTTGGATGGGAAAAAGTCGTCGTGGCATATGGGAGCATAGAGCGAGCACAAGAAAAACACCAAATCTTTACTGCAGCTAGTCTTGATCAGCAGTCTATAATTATCGACAACTAATTTCGCATTACCTTGGGTGGCTTGGTTAAAATAATTTGGCATTTTCGTCGTGTTGTAAGGCAGATTCTGACAAAGAGGTATCTCAATTTTTTCGCACACTTTCCTGGGAAAATCCGAGGCCAATTTTCTTTTGGCTCGATTAATTCTGCTGTAGGGGCGGCTAAATTCTGTGAAGTGCTTGCCCTTCCGTTTTCTCCTATCCTTCAAAAAGTGAGTTTTTTCTTCGTCCCTATCAGTTTGATAATGATGATGCCTATGTAATCTAGTTGTCAGATGTAGATCCGTTGGCTGTGTAGTTTCACTAACATTGTTATGCGTTGATGAAGACGAGTTATAAGAATAGTACATACTTGATTCTGAAAAATTTACGATATAATTTAGGAGAATTACTAAATAAATACGTGGTTGAGCCATTTTTCCTTTTTTGTAGAAAAATGTTGCTTAAATTATCAAATCCTTACTAACCACTTTTTCGGGAATATTTAATTCATTTTTTTTCTTCTTTAAATATACTATATAACTAAGAATGGGTAAATAGGGTGATTTTTTTTAAATTGTACTCAAAGGCAATCGTTTTTTGAAATTTATTCTGGTTATTATTCTTGAAATAAAATATATTTATTTTTATTTTTACAAAAGCTTATGTTTAATCTATCATTTTTTCTCTCGAAACATTTTACCTCAAAATAATATAAATACTAAAAAATACTGTATCTATTGAAAACTTATATTAATAATATTATAAAAATTAATGAATTTTTTATGTGATGGGTTAAAATTTCATATAAAAAATAGTATTTTTATTTTTTCTTTAAAAAAACCAAATGAATCCCCTATTTAAAGGAAGGGGGGGGGGGATACATGAAGAAAATGAAAATACAATTTCTACAGTTTATAAGTTTTAAATTTTCATAATTTATATAAAATATTTGCAATAATTTTAATTTGAAATTTGAATTGTTAGTTTTAATAAAATTAAAGTTTTGAATTAAAAAAAAATATGAAGTATGAAATGCCTTAATAAAATTAATTAATTGGAAGTAAAATATTTTCAAAATGTAATAGAATTAATCTTCTTCCTTACAAATTTTTCAATATAGAAATTGATAATTTGCACACAAGATTTCCTTTTCTTTTCTTTTCTTTTCTTTTCTTTTCTTTTCTTTTCTTTTCTTTTCTTTTCTTTTCTTTTCTTTTCTTTTCTTTTCTTTTCTTTTCTTTTCTTTTCTTTTCTTTTCTTTTCTTTTCTTTCTTTTCTTTTCTTTTCTTTTCTTTTCTTTTCTTTTCTTTTCTTTTCTTTTCTTTTCTTTTCTTTTCTTTTCTTTTCTTTTCTTTTCTTTTCTTTTCTTTTCTTTTCTTTCTTTTTCTTTTTCAAATTAAATTATATTTTCTAATCTAAATTAATATCCTTTTCTAAATTAAATTAATTTTTATAAATTGAATTTGGTAATTAGCATAAGCAAGGTTAGAAAAAAAAGCCAATAAAATAAAATAATTTAAAAATTCGTCTATTTCGGTACTAAAAACAAACATTATCATTTTAAAATATAGTATGCTATGCAAAAATTGAAAAAGTTTTTTTTTAAAAAAACCGATATATAATAAATTCCAAAAAAAGCAAAATAAATATTCTCAAATCTTGACATAAAAAATGACAATTTTTGAAAAATATTTATATTCTTATTCTTCGTATTAAATTAATGTGCATTTGGTGAGACATCGCTGGGAGTTATAATCGAAACGAATATAAAAACAAAAAGGTTTAAAATGTGAAAGTGATTATTTATATATAATTATATTTTGGTTAAGAGTATCAAAATATTTTTGATTACAGATTTGTGCGCTCAAGAAAAAGTAGACATTTTTCTGGAATAAAGGAATGTTAGATTTGCGTAAACTTAAATTTATGCCGGTTGAAGTACGTATCTATCAAGTTGTGCCCCCCCCCCCCACCCCCATAGCCTTCGACAACTTTTTTATTTTAACAAATTAGATATATATATACATTTCAAGACTTGTAGAGGTACCATTTACATGGGGCCTAAATTTTTTTTAAAAAATTCAGTGTCCAGCCCGGATTATTATTTTTTTTGGCCCTGTGCCCCTAGCCTTATATTTTCAGACCCTGCCCAGATTTTTTTAAAAATATATTAAATATGGGCGATTTAAAATATTTGGTTTTAAAATATACGGCCAGGTTATTCTTTAAAAATTTTTTTTAGGCCCTGCCCGGGTATATTAAAAAAAATAAAATACGGTCTGTCCCGGGCTTACTGCCGCGCCTGCATGTCTCTGATATATTTATTAATATAATTTATATTGTTAAATATCTATTAAATAAACTGAAAAGAATAAGTAACATCTATAGAGATCATAGAATCATAAAATTCAAAAATATTATGAATCGGAAATAATTATTAATGTATTTAGACGCTTCTGTTATTTTCCTTCTAACATAATGTCAATCTTGGCAATTTATTTTTATTTTGCCAATTAATGTTTTTCTTTAAACTGTCTACCAAACAGGTTGAAACCCTAATAAGTGTGAAAAACACACTAATTATTGACATAAAAGAGACAAAACTTCCATATCTTAGAATGACTTTACGCCTAAGGCGTGATATCATAATTTGTATTTTGTGGCTGGAAAAATTGATTAATGAATTAATAAGTAAGGTATAATATACACAAACCAGATAGTTATAATTTCTATATTTTCCCTTCTGGCATGATGCTAATTTTGACATTTTTTATTTTTCATCAATAATTATCTTTCCCTTCAAACTATCTAAACAGAATAAAACAATAAAATGTTCTAATAATAATGGTAAGGTATAAATTCCAGATTTTTCTAAAAATTTGGCTAACTTCACGCTCATTACGTGAGGTATTAGTTTTCATTTTGTTTATAACTTCGTTTCTTTATGTGGTTTTTAAATTTGATTGAGGAAAGTACTAGTCAGGCACTACAAATTATCGCACTTCAGATATATAGTTTTTTTTTAAAAATATTTTCCATTCAAGCCTAATGCCAATCTCTTTTATCTATTGTCTACCAAACGGGTTAAATTAATTTACAATTGAGCACTAAACATTGATAAAATTTTCAGAACACTTTCAGTTGCTTTTTAATCGTAAGGTTTGTCAAAAAAATTTTTTTTACTAATAATTTTTAATTAATGCTGGATATTATAGTGTTTAAAGTCAGACACAATCCAATTGTTCAGCCAACTTTAACGGAATAAAAATAACCACGGAGAAATCAATAAAATACAATATTTTTATCGGTGAGACCAACCGAAAACCACTATATTTTTTTAAAAAAAACGAAAACATAGTAATTCTTTATTTAATATCGGTTTATTTTTGGGCCCACATTGTTGATGTATATATAAACATACAATACGGCTCAAGATACAAAATTTAAAATAAAAATAAATCTATACACTTTAAATATTTATAAAGTCCCCTCAAAGCATAATACTAGACTTTTATCAAAGAATATGATTGATGAGAAACTTCATTTTGACATAAAAAAATTTCAAAATTATTGTCTATTATTGCAACAATTTTTATTTTTTAGATAAAATTTTACTCATATTTTAAAATATGGAGATAAAGGAGGGAGAGGGCATTTTACAAAAAGGATTTTTTTTTATTTAATAAATAAACTTACTTTCTTAAATGATTATCTTTCTTTTAAAATATATTTTATAAATTTAAATTCATATATTATTAATGTTAAAATGAAGGGTTATTTAAAAATCAAAGGAAATTCCTTTGCTGGTAAAATAAATAATAATATAAATAATTATATATATACCAAAACATGATAAATATTTTACTTTTTTTTCCCCAACTATTATTATATGATATATATAATATACTGAATAAATAATTATTTTAGTATGATTTTTTTAAATAAAATAGAAACCGCATTAACACAGACTTTCATCTGTTTTAAAAATTTTGGTTTTTCCTTACTTATAATTTATTATGGCAAATATGTTCAAAAAAATATTTTTTTGAAATGTAAGTCTTAAAAAAAATGAATACAAATCGAATCATTTTAGTTGTAATGGTTTAAAAATCAATATGGGGTTAAGAGATGGGAGATCAACGATGGATATTATTTTACAATTAAATCTCTAATTAAAAATTTCACAAGAATCAATAGGCCTTACATATGGCTTTCATTGACTTGTACCAGTTAGTGTTATACTCCAGTTTCTAGGCACTTTTAATATGGCGGTGTTTAAAGAAAAAATAACGATAAAATTATATAAAAATCCTTTAATAATTTTTTATTTATTTTTAACAAGAATTGATTTTCAAAATCTTTATCAGATAAACAAGGTTTATTGATCAACACAGTTTTTTGCTGTGCTAAACACACGTTTACTGCCGCAGAGGTTGAGAGAGTTGTATTTAACAGAGTTATTAAAGTATCCAGATACAAAAATGTGGTATATGAATCTAGGTAGACTTTTATAAAATGTAAAAATGTAACTATATCTCTATCTAGATAATATTTTAGAAGTATCTAAACTATTTATCTGTATCTAGATAATTTTTAGATGATATATCTGTATCTAAATTTATTTAAAAAGTATCTTTTAAGAACTCTGACATTTATTAAAAAAGTATCTTTTAAGAACTCTGACATTTATTAAATAAATATTTTAATCGGGGGAATTAATTTAAAAATTTAAATAAAAGATCTTTATTTTTAAAAAAAACTTATATAATTATCTTTACATGAATTTTCTTTCAGATCCTCATTACTTCTTTATCAGAATTTATTCTAGTATTTATATTTATTAAGATATTTTCTCAAATCAAATACGTTTAAATTTTTTACCTTCTTTGACCTTGAATCTTATCAAGGGTCAATCACTTAAAATAAGGGCTAACAATACAATATTCATCTAAACGACTTATCCATTATCTGAAAATTTCTGTAATTCCGATTTATCACAAGTTTAATCAAATTCGTTACTATTCTCTTTTCTAAGACTATTAGTTTCACTAAGTTATGAATAGAATTCCAATTTATTATGAAATAAATCATAATATCAATATTAGATTAAAAATCTTGACTGATAAAATACATTAAAATATAAATGAAGAACTTTGGTGGTTGATATTTAAAAATTCGGCTTAATTACTTAATATAATATAAAAATAAAAAATATTTTTTCCAACTTTATTAAGAAATTTTTTTAAGTTTTGCGTCTATACTTTTAAAAATTATATATAAACACACTAGATTTGTCTAACGTTTTTTTATACATATTAATGATTTTTAAAAAAAAACAGCGTTGGGAACCTAAATCAGTACTCATTTTTTAAAAAATAGCGTTTAGGATTCAATAATTAATTTTTTAAGTAATAAAAACTTCTTTTTTTTAACATTATTTTGTGACAAAATCTTATTTCAAATTTTTTGGACTTTTTTCTAACAGCGATTTTCGAAATTTTTTCTTTTAGATTACAGATATATTATTAAAGAAAAAAAATTTGTGTTTGTGTTACATTTTATATTCATGGATTTTTCACTGAACACAAACTTTTTTTTTAAACGAGGATTTACAGCCCTACTAAACTCTGTTTAATTCCTAAACAATCAATGAGTCACAGATATAGATTAAATATTTTTTATTATTGAATCAAATGAAGATATACTATATTTACTATACTGTACTGTACTGCATTTATAATAATAAGTTTATATTAATTACAATAATATAATAATAATAAGAATACTTTTTGGACTATGAGTAACCCGATAATAATATAAAAATATATTACAAATTGCTTTATATATTATAATAAATATAGTAATACCAGAATATAATAGAAATTATAATATTTACTATGGATAATATAGTATTCTAAATATAAAAATACAGGTTATGAGAATTTATAATATATAAAATAGTATATTTTGAATATGATGTTACATATAACTTGAATTTATTATCATATTTGGTATGTTTATATTTAATTAGTCTTTATTCATCTATTTCATCTTCACTTTCATCTATTTCGTTATCCTCATGGATACTTCGATTTATTGTAATTGCACCATTTTTCACAAGAGTTTGAATGATTGAATCGGAAGAATTTAATGTATAAGACAAGTCTAGTGGAGTATGATCGTTGAAGGATTTACAGTTTACATTAATATTTTCCTTAAAAAATATAGTTATGAGTTTATCGGGTATATAGTTAAAAACTTGTTTAACGAGATAGTCAATGTTCTGAGTACACCTCCTCTCAACAGCTAAATGTAAAGGCGTTTTACCTGATTTTCCGTTCATTTTATTGACTTGTATGTTATTTATGTTGCAAAGCAACTCCAAATACATTGTATTTAAATTTGTAGAAGCCAAATGAATTGGAGATTCACCTTTTAAATATAAATATTATTATTCAAATTAAGCCAAATAAAAACAGTTATATTTTAAGTAATAAGAACCGGCATAATTGAGGTCATTAACGATTTTCTCCAATTGGTCTTTTAAAATTGGGTTAGAGATGAGCATTTGCAAACTGTTTATAGAATTGTGAGCAACGCAAAGATGCAGGGGATTATTACCTTGACCGTCTAATAAAGTAAGGTCTGAGTTTAAGCTTGTTAAAACGTTTACCACTTTTGGCATATCCAGTTGAGAGGCTAAGTGAAGTGGTGTCTGCAAAAATTTGATCCCATCAAAATTTTTTAATTAAACATAATTTAAATTTTTACCTTTTGAATATTATTGTAAAAAGTGACTAAATTGACGGCTAAGGATGGCGTTTTATTAAGAGAATTTAGTAATGTCAGGGCCACATTTTCATTCCCGTTCATTATAGCATGATGTAAGGGTCTAATTAATTTATAAAAAATAAAGGATAAGTCTATAAAAAAAAGAATAATGGTGATAATTTAATAAATATATAATTAAAAATAAAAGTAAACGTGTTCCCATCCACATCGGGCAAAGCTATGTAATGCGAAAATAGCGATAAAAATGGTGCTAAATCTCCAAAGGTTGCATAATCTACAAGTCCCATTAGTATTTCATTCCCCTTAAGGCTTATTTTTGCCTTAAGAATTGGTGAGGCAAATTGTATAATGTTGCTTTCATCGTTTTCACTCCTGCTATTGGTAATTAATGTATGAACATTATCTTCAATTCCAGAATCCACAGAAGAAGCATATTCTGAAATATCACCTTCTCTAGACATAGAACTGATTGGCGGAGTCAACTCATTTCTACTGTCGATTAAATTGAGATTACTCATGTTAGTAAGCATAATCGAATGATCGTCAATTTGTTGAGGATTAGTTGCACTGTTAGATGGCAAAATAGGTTCTAAACCTGGAGGTATTCGAAAAATTTAATTAATAAAGAATAAATTATTCTTAAAATTTTATAAAATAATAAAAAATCTATACATTTTATGTAAAATTATTTTGATGAAATATCATTTATTTAATTGTGAAACATCTAGCTCTTAGCAGAGGAACGAAATCCGACTGTCCATTAGATTCTGGTATATAATCGTTATCGTATTTAGTAGCTTGTTGCTCACTTGTGTTGTGTCCGCTAATATTTCTTACAGTGATATCAGTTGAATATGGAACATTTGGGAACCCTGATGCTAATAAATTAAATAAATTAATAATCCCCATTAGATATATATATTTTATGAATTCCTATGATACATTTTGGAAATAATTTTGGGATTCTTACCAAATAATTCAAAATTTGTATTGTGAAAGATTTCTAGATTCTGACTAGGTAATCTTTTTTGTAAAGAATCTTTATCGATGGCATCATTATCAGACAAGTGGTTCCATTCAGTGTAAATAGGAGAGTGATTATTTTTATTATTATATTGGTTTATTTTATTGTAATAATGCGTTTCTTTGGATTCTGGAGATTTCTTACTAAAATTAGATGAAATGCTGTCATCTATGTTAGAGGAGTTTCTGTTTTGGACGTTGTGAGTATGGTAGTTTGTGCTTTGATGGCTGTTATGTGTTGAAGAGGATTTCCCTGAGAGAGGACTGTGGATTTCGCTTGTATAACTGTTGCAACAAACGCTGCTTCTATTATTTTCACTCATGGATTGGTTATTGTAATTATTTATATACTGGTCTTCTTCTAGAGATTTTGAATCGATACTACTCATATCACTAGAGGTTGCAAATTGACGCTTGTCTGTATCCATATCTAAATTTCTTTTTACACTCCTGGAAATGGGTATAATTTTTTCGGAATTGAATTTGGCTGGATAATTAGTGACCGTGTTAGTTAATGGATTTGAAATATTAGTATGTTCTTTTCTATTACATTTAGAATACATGTCCCCTCGACTAACACTGAAATCTTTGCCATTAATATTTTGAAAATACACATTGTTTTCACTTAGTGACGACTTAGCATTGTTGCTAATTTCGGGAACTCTTACCCCATTCTCATTTGATTCATTACCGCTGGTACATTCGTCCATAAAATATCGACCTGACGAATGAATTTGCGACGTATGATGCAGCTGCGTTAAATCATCTGCATTATTAATGTCCGCAAGAGGATGAGGAGGATAATTATGAGGTTGAAAAAATGTGGGGTGATAAAAATACTGTTGTTGATAATGATGGTAATTAATATTAATATTGTTAGACTTTTCCGTGTTAATGGTAGGTGTTTGGGCTATATCAATCATTTTGTCAACGGAAGTGATTTGGGTGATAGGTTGATTAGATGTTTGTCTGTTTAAATGAGAATCTATGGGGAGTTGATCATTTTTACAATATTTCTCACCTTGATAAATAATTGGTTTCGTTTGTCCGCCATCAGAAATGATAACTTTAAGAAAAAATTGATTTCATAATATAAAATATATTCTAATAGTGGAAAGAGATATAAAAAGACAAATCTTTTGATTTTTACATATTATGTTCAAATTAGAAATCCATAAATGTTGATTAAATTAATTTAAAGGCTAATTTATAAACTTAAGGCTAAATATTTTTTAAAAAAATTTTAACATCGATATTTACTTTCATCTTCTTGTGCATTATTTTTAGGCTTAAAGGATAAACTATTATCTTTATCTTTGTTATTTGATGGCTTGTCAGCTTCGGTGTTAAAATTTGGGTCGTTCCCGGAAAAATTCTCAATCATGCACAGAGCGTCGTTTAAAATTTCGAGGTCTGTCATTGAAAGCAAAAATTTTTGCCTTTTTTTCCCCACGTGTTCATCGTCTTTAAATATATAAAAAAAGGTTCAAATAATTAAATAAAACATCAAAGTGTTATTTAGATTAGGTTGCAAAAAAAGTTTGAATTTAAAATCTAGTAATATAAAAAAAATTCTTACACAAAGGAACGGGTCTAAATGTAAAAGGTTTTGGTTCACTCGTTAATCCATCCTTTTTCTTTTGAAGTTGTATAAAAACTCGAGCAGGTTTGGACAGATTTTGGGTTCGAAAAGGCGGGGTTCTAAACACGATAGCATACTAAAAAATATAAATTTAAAAATATGCTATTATCTAAATGTCTTAAAAATTATTTTCGCGCCCAATTTCAATTAACGGAACGTATGATTCTCATTTTTAAATCAATTAAATCCAGAAATAGAAATTTAGTTTATGAAAGGGAAAGTGTAACTGTTAATCTAATAGCCTGTTTCCTTTTTAATTGAAGAAATTGGATAGAAATAAATATATTTTATTAATTTGGGGTTATATTTTAAAATTATAATTTTACCAAAATATAATAAATAATTTTTTCTAAAAATGCTAATACTTGTCTTAATCTTATGCCAAAGCAATGTTTGAAAAATAATATAAATAGACTTCAAAAACAGGGAAAGGTTTAGGATTTCATGCGGGCATTTACCTGGTTTCATTCTTATGATTAAAATATTACTCACAAATATTAAAAATATTTCGCTAATTTATGCCTAGAAAAAAAACGTAATGGTATGCATAAGTGATTTCTGTTTTTTCAATAAAACCTACAAACAAATTTTTCAAATAACAATATTTTAATAACAATTTTCAATTTTAATTTGAATAACTTTAACTTAAGTATTGTTCATAAAGGTGATTGATAAATTTAATCTGCATTTAAAAAGTATAAGCCATATAAAAGACAATTAAAAATTAATATAATTGCTTTAGGGATGGGTCAACGTAACTATATTTAATATTTAAAAAAAAATGGATTTTACAACGAATCGAATGGCCTGATGTAATAAGGATTTTTTAATTTTATTTCTAATTATGATTATCAACAAATTTCTTAAGCCCCAGCCCTAAATCTCTATGGATATATGAAGTATTATAACTTGGAGGTAATTTGAACAATGAGAAGTTCCGTATAACTTAAACTCATGGATAATGAACAAATTCATGAATTACGCATTATATTTTAAAAAATAAGATGGTGGTGATGATGAATAAATATAAATATGGTTATAATAGTTAGTTATGATAAATTACAGATTTAAAAATAATATAAAAAATCGTATAATAACCTGTTTGTGAACATCGTGTATGCTAAATTTTCCATAATCGTGCCAAATTTCCTTGCCTTTTTCATCCAGTTCAAAAAATCTGATAGATATATCATCTGATACAATGTAAATTATATTATTAATATCTATATATCACCGTATTTTTGAATTTTTTTTTTATAGAACATTCATCTAACTTGTTTCCACCCAGAATTAGTGCATAATTATTTGACTTTGTGAGTGGAAACATATATTTGTTATTAATTTAAATTACATATAGCCGAATAGGGGCGATGCACTCCAACTAGTCTAAATTAAATAACAGATTAGGACTATCTAACACTTCATATCTCAGATAACCGGGAGCGCAGTTTTAAAATTTTTTATTGAAGTAAAGAATAATAATACAGTAACAGACATCTATAAGCTATCCTATCGGCTTAATAAAAATAGTCCCCTATTATCGGGCATCATTATTCATAAAATATAAAATATAGATAAAAATGTTAATTTTTCAAAAATAATTTTGGGTAGTATAACCTTTTACATATAAAAAGACTTTAAAATTATTCAATTATCACCATCCATTCAATAAATAAATATTTTTAATACTATTCAAATTTTAATGATTTTTAAATTTTCTTTGTATACCTTTAAATTAATTAAATTTAAAGATCGTACAAAACTTATAAATCAATTTCACTTAATTTTATATGATCTGGATAAATCAAAACTATAGAATTTTATCCTATAATAGACAACTATAATAAACTATTATTTACTTTTGACAGAAAAATATATAATTAAAAATTTTTTTTACCCTTACAAATAGTGCTGTAAACGTTACTACAAAAAAGAAACGCGTTACCGTTACTCGTTACATCTGAAAAAAGGAACGCGTTACCGTTGCTCGTTATCCAAAAAAGGAACGCGCGTTACTGACTTTTCAAAAAAGTAACGGGCTACTCGTTACTTAAAAAAATTAAATATACAAAAATAATATTTATTTTTTTCTGACAATATATAATAAAATAAAACTATACAAAAAGAATATATAAGATCGTTTTATAAAAAAAATATTCATATATTTAATTATAATATAAATAAAATTATACAAAAATAATATATTATAAGATAACATCTTTATGTAACAATTTTTTATTTATTTTTAGCAACAATTGATTTCAAAATTTTGATCAGACAAACAAGAGCGCTTAGTGCTCAACACAGCTGGGGGATGTTATATATAGTATTATAATAATAAATATAATCTATAATTAAATTCTCTGTAAAATTTTGTTATTGGATAAATCCTGGCTACACCACTCTTTCATATTTATTTATTATAACAAAGTTTTTTAAAATCACTATTTTTTATTCTTTAAATTTATTAACAATTATAGTCAAACCAATAGCAATACTTAAACAAGAAATAGAAGATATAAAAAACTCAATATAATACTTTGAATCAACACCAATTTTTGTTAATTTTGGGTTTTTAATGTTTGTTTCCAGCCCAATACTGTAGTATAATTTAATTGCTTATATTTAGGGCTGTGCCGATCCACATATTTTCACCGATCCGGCTCCAAAACTGATGCGATACTGATACCGATCCGATATTTATTATACCAAATGTAATTAAGAAATCAATAATTTTTATGCAAAAAATCAAATTATGCATTTATTTTAATTTTTTTTATTTATACAATTAAGACTATAATTTAAAAAACATATATTTAATAATATATCCATTTTAAGTTGGTATGAATTATAAAATTGTATTTAATATATAAAATTATAGTATATTAGATTTTATTTTAATAAATATGAGAGCCTCTAGATTTTCTGGCGATAAGCTTCTACGATAAAGAGTATCAATATCCCCTGCCGTACTGAAGGTAAACTCAGATGATTCCACAGATAACGCATTTTGCAAAATTATCTTTGTCTTTTGTAAAATATTTCCACAATTCAGATACCATATTTTAAAATATTCTTTCATTTAAAGTATAATTACTAAAATTGGCGTTATTATTTAAAAAGCTTTAAATAATTAAAACTTTGGGTGTTCCCTTCTATTTTAATAAAAAAAACTTTTAAAATACTATAAATCTATTTTAAAAAAGGATAAAATTTAAAGGATGTTGTGCATTTGCATTGTTTAAAAAAAATAATTAAGAAAATAATATAATAATGTAAAATAAATATACATAACATATCGTATCTGTTTTTACAGGTATCGGCCCGATCCGATATTTTTGGAAAATTCTAAATATCGGTGCCGATCCGATATTTTATATCGACACAGTCCTACTTATATTTTAATTTTCATGATTAAGCTGTTCAAAATATTATTCTATTATTAAAGTAATATTTAAAATAATGATACAATAATTTATCTTTTTACCTTCAAATGCTTTTTTAAGTTTGAACTGCTGGACATTGAGGTTGAAATATTTGTGTTGGGATATAATTTACATTTCCAAAGTGTAGACTTAGTACCATTAATTTTCTTTATTGGTTTAAAATATATTTCAAATTGGGGCCAGGGAAGGGTTAAATCATCTTCATCTGAAGAAGTAAGTAATGGACATAATATACTTAAAATAAATTATAAGAATAATAATATCTATTAACATTTACTTTGAATTTTGATTGAATATTAATTTTGACATAAAATTTAACAACGAGAATTTAAAATAAATTGAAGGCAGTGGTTGATATGAATTAAAACTCGGATTAAATTATTTATATTAATAATTAAAAAATAAATAAAAGTAATTTAATAATACAATAAAATAGGTTTTTCTTTTTGTTGATATTTTTTAAGAAAAAATATAAAGTATAACGAGTAACGTTTTGCGTTACCGTTACTCAAAAAAAAACGCGTTACCGTTACTCGTTAGCTCTAGAAGAAGGTAACGAATGGCGATCCTTTTCTTCAAAAAAAGTAACGTAGTTAGTAACGACGTTACTTTTTTGACGTTACTTCACAGCACCACTTACAAGTATCAAAATTTATTTTGTAATTTTTTTTATATTTTAATTTGTAATTTCTTTTATAAAAAAAGAATAAATCGTTCGTTCGTTCTTTCTTTTGAGTAGGGCATTATATGAAATAATAAAATTTTTCTTTACAAGTAATATGATCTATTACCTTTTTGAACTCTTTCACAGAGGAGAAATATTTCTTCGTTTCCAACACAATAACCGGCCTGTTTGTCCATGCGACATATTTTGAGCGCCGCTGTATTGGGAGATTCTATATATATATATATATATACTTAATATATAATTTTGAAAATATGGTATATTTTGTGTCTTACAAATAAACCAAAACCAAATTTTGTTTTATATTTAAAAAAATTGTAATTTAGGTATATATGAATTACTGCTATCGTATACAGGTTTGGATAACACGGGTGGAATAGGAATTTCGTGGCCTGAGGAATCAATTATATATGACTGAAAGCATAAACGAATCACGTTTAATTCCATGGTCTTGGCATTTTCCTCCGCATTTACACGTATCATTTGTCTTTCTGCTTCTAAAATACAATAAATAAATATCAATGAAGATTTAAAATTTTGGTTTAGGGATACTAAATAATTATAAAGCCATCTCAATGTTTTCTAAAAAATGTTCAAGTTTAGCAATCATTTTCAGCGACAAATATCAAAGATCCGCAGACCCGTACCAAGAGTTTCAGCAGACCACAAATTTGTATTTTTCAAAAAAACTGGGCCCGGGCTTAGATTATAATTCTAGGTCAGGCAATCTTAAAATCACATAAGCTACATTTTAAGATATTTAAAGATTTCTAGATATGTTACATTTGTGTTCGTTTAAATTTGTATTTAATAAAAAGTTACAATTAATTAAAATATACCTGATAGATCGTAATTAGCGCTATGCCTGTCTTGACTCATTATCTTTTGCATCCTATATTCTTCTTCAAGTCTCTCTTGCATGATTTGCGGCACTTCTTTCTTGGGAACGTGAAGTATCCCCAAATTTTGAAAACTTTTTAAAGGTAAAAAAATTTTTACACAATTTTACCAAAGTGAGATCAAAAATAATTTTATTATGCCAAAAAAAAAATATTTGGGTATAATAAATAATTTATGCCAAAATTTTAAAAGCTAGATTAATTTTTTTTAAACTTAAATATTTTGGACAAAAAAAATTTAGTCTCAAGAATATATATATTCTTAGATAAATTTAATGAAGCTGTCGAAAATTTCAGATCATATTAATTATATCAGTTTTAACAGGCCTATGCATACACCCCACCAGTATTAAAGGGTTAAAAATAGGTAATTAGAATGATAAGAAGGAACGTATTTATATATATTAAATGTATCATTCTGTTTTTTTTTTCAAATAATTTACCAAATTGTCATTTCATTCTCTGGTAGAATTCTGACCTGACAACTTCCATCATCACAATTTTTCCCTACTAATTTATGAACATGTAGCCTGGGCTCGGGTTCATTTGTCATCAAAGTAACTTCTACTCTAGCGGGCCCAAGATAATTTTCAATCTATATTTATTTTTTTCACAAAATAAATGCTTCTTAATTTATTTCATTTCCAAATTTGATTTTTTTTAAAATCAATATTATATCATCCATTTTTTTAATTTAAATTTATACTTAAAAAAATAAGAATATGTTCACTTCACCATTAAGCATATTTTAAGAATATCATAACAACCTAGGTAAAAATCTATAATAATAAAAAAAAATCCAAAAGGGATGTTAGCTACTTTCAATTAGAAGAAAAATTAAGAAGGGTTAAGATGCAATTCTATCATTAAATTATTTTATTATCTTAATGACAATTCACAATATTATAATATTCCATTGATGAGATTTAATATTAATTTTAAAAATAAACTCTATACTTATACATTATTTATGATGAATTTTTTAGACTTAAATAAATAATATTTACTTATAATCAAAAACGGAGAAATATTATTCTGTCCCGTTGTGTAAAGTAAACAATCTTCTTCTTTTTTTGCTAAGTTAACTGATTTCGAAGTAATTATTATTTATAAACAATATTTGTTTATTTATCTTCTTATTTCTTTTCTTTATAATATTTCCTCCCTTTGAGTGTTTTTTTTTAAATATAGTATTTTTTACACCGGGATCTAGAAGGGAACGTTCCGAGAACGGAAGTTTGAGAACAATATTCTGGAATCTTCCCAGAATGGCCGGAACGTTCCTAAAAATCTATCAAAATTGTAATATGGAAATGATATAAAAAAGAGACGAAAAATTTGGATAAATATAAATTGTAAATCAATCTAGCTGGCGCATATATAAATTATTATTAATCTTATTTATAAATATTTTATATAATAAAATCACATAAAAAGAATACTATACTAGCAAGCAAGTAGCAAATTAAAGAAATTAAAAAAAGGTAAATTTAATAAAAATAAAACAAAAATACAAAGAATATGGACTATTTTGGGTTAAATTAATTAAAAAGTGATGAATAAATAAAGTAATATACATATTTATTTTTAATTTAACATTGCTCTATAAATATTTGATCAAACTTTAAACAGTTATTATTTAAATTTTTATTCTATAAAATTAATCTTATCTTATATAAAATGAAATTTTAAATGGGCATATTTATTTTTGATATAATAATAATAATAAAAATGAAGATCACCGGAAAACATCGCGAAAGATAATTTATTAAGACACATTAAATAAATTATAAACAAATGAAGCGTTACGTAAAAATCAATTTTAATTTTTTTTTCTTAAATTTAAAAACGCTGTTTTATTAAATTTTTCTCAGCCAATTGTAAAATTGGTTTAAAAGTGATTTTGAGTTAATAACATAAAATCGATAGTCTAATAGTATATTAATATACATAGCACATAAAAATTTTGATTAGGAACTTATACCTCTTAATGTAAAGAAAAATTGTTTATTTACTCTCGATGCTAAATTTATTCGTTTTTTAAAACGTAAAAACATCTTATTTTATACTATATATAATATATATCACAAAATTTAAAAATTGAATGAATAAAAAAAAACCTCTGGGGGAAAAAAAATCTAACAATTTTATTTGAGGTAAAAAGTAAATACAAACTTTAATAGTGGGATATTTTTTGTTATTCCTTTGACTGGTTTCAGCCGGTAAGCCTCCATGAGCTCCAGCCTCGCTTTTGTAACGAAATCTAAAGCCTCTTTCCAAAGGTTGTTCCAAGATTTTCAGGTAGGGTTGAGGGAAAGAAGATCCTGGTCGCATTCTATGTATTCGAAAAAAGATATAATATATAAGGTCTATGCGTGGCGTGTACGTCATTATCTACAACATTATATCATAAAATTTAAAAGAACAAAAAAATAGAGAGTTTCTTACGTAATAGATTGTATTTTATAAAAAAAATTGGGGCAAAAATTTAAACACATAGAAATACTTTTTTTCTTTATATAATTTCATAAATCTTGAATTTATTTGTATATCACCTTATATTAATAATGGGTGTCTATTTGATAATGAACCTTTAATTTTAAATATGGCTATAAAGAAACATTTATAAAATTACATAATGTTAAAGGAAGTAATTAATAATAGTAAGTGAGGCTTATTATAAGTGCTTTTAAATTGAGCGTTTCTAATGTTTAGATTAAAATAAAATACAGTTTTTCAAATGATATCTTTCTAAACGGCGAAGTTTTAATCTTGCGTTAAAAACTTCATTTATTTGAGTTAATATAAAAAAAAATTCACGAAATACCTTTCCAATTTGAGTGCATTGTCACCCCTTATTAGCAAAAGATGTATTTATGATTAAAAGTTTTCATATTAAAGGTTTTCCAGCAGCCTTAACTGTTAAAAATTTTTGTTTATATCTTTTTATACTAAAAGATTAATTTTTTCAATCTAATCTAATATTCCATTGATTCGATTTATATTATTTTCTTAAGTAAAACTATAGAAGTAAAAGCTTATAATATTATAAAGAGCTAAATTAAACAATTTATAAAAAAAATCAAAAAATCTGTAACTTGTAAATGGAGAATGATTAATTCAAGATTTCATTTTGTATCAAAACTTATGTTTTATTTTAAAGCAAATCTTAGAATTTCTATTTCTATTTCAATTTTAAATAATTATATAATTTTATGTTATGATAATTAAAATTATAAAAAATATATATATAAGAATTACTTGGCTGGCATTCTCTGTACACTATCTATCAATAACGCTCAATAAGAAACAATTTAATTTTTTTTAAAATTTTTTAAAATAAAAACAATTTTTATATTCTTTAAAATCAAAATTTATTTATCAGCCTATTAATATTATTACGTTTTTTCCTTCTACGAAATAATGTTTAAAATTCTCTAAAAATAAAAATTAAATTATACTCATCAATTATAAGACAAACATAGGTAGATAAAAAGATAAACAAAGTGTATACGAGAAATAAATAATAAATTCTTTCGTGATATCTTTTTGAGAGAAGATGAGATTGATTTATAAAATATTTATCAACAATTAAATATAGTGTTTTATTTTATTAAATAACATAAATATATTGCGCCTATTAAAACGAGCAAATAAGACAGTTAAACCCTGAAAAATATGAAGAAATTACTTAATATAATTATTTATTAAGCATAATTAATATTTTTTTAAAGTTAGAAAGAAAACACATTTTCTATGCCCTCATTCTATACCACCCCCTCTCAACCTTCCCTTAAAGATTTGAGAAGTTTCGAATATATGATAATTAATTAGTATACTTTAAAAATTCTTCAAAATAAAGGAATATAAATTTAATAACTAAGAAAAAAATGGAGTTCTTAACCCGGCCAAAGGGTTGCAGAAAGCGAGCCTAAATCCTCCCAATAAGGCTAATTAAAAGCCCCCACCCCCTCAATATGAAATTCCTGTGTTAGATTATAAAATCCTTCTAGATTTTTTTAAAGTTAAAATAATAGTAAAAGTTGATTTTATTAAGATGAATAATTTAATTTATGGGTGTATAATGAGATAGGATCGTATCAATTTGTGTTATGTCAAAAAATGTCATAAAATAATTTTGAAAAAGATAAATTCCATTTCTTGTTCGAAAATGTAATTTTGTTAATTGAACATGTTTTGATGTTTTAGGGTACATGTGTATTTTTAACTATTTATTTTGTTTACCTAACAAACGAAAAACGCGAATCAATTTTTCTTAAACAAAAACTCCAATTAGAAATTTTTAAACATAATTATACCTGTTTTTTAGGAACATTTTTACTATAAGCTCTTTTTAGAGCCATCGATATTTTTAAAATATACATTCACTTTTAATATATATTCATCTTTTATTTTTATATTTTGTTTACATGTTTTAAAGATAAATGAATAATAATTAATAAAAATTAAAAAAAAAAAATGGAATAAAATATATTTGTTTCTTAACCTTTTGATAACAACTAGTTTATTTACTATAAATGGGTTTGTTAAAAATATGAACACAATTATTTTCGGATAAGAAATTGTATAAATTATTAATAATAATTTTTTTTTAAAATAACCGGCACTCATAGGTTGATTGGCCATAAGACTAAGAGGACAATTGACCCAAAGATCGCTAGAAATTATTAAAAGTTACATAAAAACAGCATTGACATGAGGAGAGGGAAAATAAGCTAGAGAATTAAAATTTATATATTTTTTATCACCATTAATTTTTAAAATTTTTTAAAAAATATTATAAATAAATTTAATAAGGGAACTGAAGTTGTTTAAAATCTGAAATTTTAACAATCTTATACCCCCAACCTGGGAATATAGTACATGCATCCATTAAAAATGGGAGTGATGAATACCATGGTTATAACAATATTTGCTTTTTTAAAAACATATAAAATTATTAATACCATCCTATAAAATGCCAATAAGCAAATTTTAGGAGTGGAGCTGAAAAATTAAGAGGAAAATATTGCAAGCTATAAAGTGCATGCTTTTGATTCAAAACAATTTGAATTTTTTCTCTAAATTCAATGCAAAGTACTTTTACCTCGAAGAAGCAACAACATCATTTTTTTTTATGTTACAGAAATCTACCACCCTTTCAAAAGAAATAGACGATCTTAAAAAAAATCTTTATTTTATTAGTTTGATCATCCTCTCATCCATAAGAAAATAATTACAAATTTATTAAAGAATGGAAGTTATCAATCTCCCGATTCTGAAATAATAAAATCATGTCAAAAATTGGCCTCCAGTTACACCGTGCTCGGAAAGTGTTTTCTGGTTATCAATAGGCAGGGGCGGACTGGCCATTAAGCCTAGTGGGAGAGAAAAAGTCCCACGAGGCCTCGAGATTACAATAAAATCGGAGGCCTTAAGAGATTTTTTTATAAAATATTTTTTTATTATTATTAAAAAAGGTTTCAAATTATGAATAAATTTGGAAGGAGCAGCAAATAAACTGAATTCGTTTTTTGCAAACTTAAATTACGTGAATATCAGATAGTATTTATATTTGGTGTTGAGGACTATTTATTGAAAAAAAAAATTTATAAAAGGATATTGATGTGGATATAAAGTGTGACTAGTTAATAGGTTCAAAAATCATTTAAAAAATTTGTAATATGCGATGTTGAGCACGTCAAAAGACATTTTTTTAGATTAAACGACAAACGTGCGCTAATATAACCACTATAAGTGTGCACTACATATATAGCAACAATTTTGAAACGAAAAAGAATTTTGATGCTAAAGTTTTATTAAATATACAAAAGGACAATTTTAACATTAACATTATTAAGGGCTCAAATATTTTTGAAATAATTGAGCCCTATTAAAATATTTATAAACAAGAAATTTAGGCATCCTAACAGCGTGGAGAAAAGTCGAATTTAAAAACGGCTAACTCAATGTTTTATCCCGAAAAATATTAAGGAAACCTGAAGATTTTGCTCATAGATGGCACACAGGTTTATACATAGCGATATCACAATACTTAGGCAATATTTTTCTGTCGAAAATATTCAGTTGGGAGTTTTTAAAATCGGTTCAAATGAACCGTTTAACAACATTATTCGCCTAAATGATGCTTTTAAATCTACCGAATTGAGGTATATAGTGATATATCGAAATTTTTTAAAAAAAATTAACATCTTCTAGCGGGTGTCCAATATATCTATTGACATATCAGCAGAAACAAAGAGTGAAGATAAAAGAAATTTAAGCCTATATGAGAAAAATTTGCAGTGTTGGTAGCCAAATGCCAAACAAAGTGGAAGCAAGCATATCTGCACAAATCAACTTATATATTGAATACAAATATTTCAATATTTTACTTTATCTTTTATACAAGTGAGTTGTGTACGAACTTAGGGTAAATTAAAAAATTGCTAACCTATATTGTTCAGAATAATCTAAATAGAAGTCTTTTTAATTATGGCAGTTGGAATTAGAAAGAAAAGTAAAATTTTTGATTATTTGTGTAAATTTTTAATCTTTGTCTAATTTATATAACGATAAATTTTCGATATCAAAGACAAGTAAAGAATATCTCATAATTCTTGTTATTTCGGCGACTGAAAGGAGATATCTTAGCTATCCTCTCTTCCTAATATTGGAAGACTTTTTTCCTATCACGGGTCTTTCTCTTAATATCTTTAAATATGAGATTTGATTAGCTTCTCATTTCTTCCTCCCATCTCTCATCCATTCTATGCTATCTCCGATTTCACTCATCTTTCGTAGCTCATTCTCTCGGCACCATAAAAAACCTAGAACATTTTTTAAAATTATATTTGTGTATCGAATCGAGAACACTCATTGTCTTGTTTTAACCACTCCAATTTAGCAAATTAAGATCACCCCTTAAATTAAAGTTGTAAATTGTAAATTCAAGATTTCATTGATTTTCTTATAAATTAATTATACTTTTGTAGCCAGTATTCTTTCTTAAGAGTATATTTATGAACACTTTATGATAAAGAAATTTAAAAAAAGTAATTGTATATTGCTATTTTTATTATTTATAAAGTATCTCCGTTTTTATAAAACATGATTTAATTTTGTTTACAAATAATGAGATTAAGAAAAAATATATATCAATCTTCAAAAACGAAATAATGGAGCTACCGGTGATCTACATCGGAACCAGCCTGGGCAGGTAATTTATGGGAACAAATTTTTTGAGTTGGACAACATTTGTTATATACATGAATTCTGCTATTTCAATGATAATCCGAGTATAGTGTTTAAGGAGCTTATTCAAAAAAAATGAAAAAAATGTGAGAATACAAATATAAACATAATCATAATATAGCTATTATAATTTTGAATAGCTCTTTGATGTCTAAGATGTTTGTGCTAATGTAGGGGCTAAGGGATCTATACAGGAATAGTCCCATATCCATTGAACACATTTTTATACCTATAATTTCCTCTATATTAGCCACATTTGGTGGCCGTGCTTTCAAGGAACTCAGTTCTCTTATTAGTAAAATCACTGATGAACTGGAAGGTCTCATAGGCAAAGATTCTCCATTGTCATCATAAATCGATTTGCATCACTGAAGCCTCCTTCCTAAGGAGTTAGCTTAACTTTTTTAAAAAATCCTTTTTACATGTTTTTTTTGTATATAATAATCATTTTTACATATTTTTTTTGTATATAATAATCATTTTTACATATTTATTGTAATTATAGTTTATTTTAAAATATATAAATATATATCTCGTTTTTATATTAATAATAAAAAGTTTGGAACCATCAGTCCCATGTTTCAAATTCTGATAATATTTCAAATTCTGATAATAATGAAAGGGTTAAGGTAGGTGTGTTTTTCGATATAGTATTTTTTTAAATGGCTACAAGTTACTTAATTATGTAGTCAAGCTATAGCTACCTTTAGAAAAACTTAGTTAACCTGTAATAGCCATCGAAAATAAATATCTATAGCTGTAGTTTAGTTGCATTTGTAGTCATCTACTTTTCAATCTTGTAAAATAATATACCTTTAAGAAATTCAAATTTTTTAAACGTATTATAAAAAATTATTTCTCTCTTTGTCTTTTCTGAAGCATAAGTCAGTTCTTAAAATATTAAATCCAAGGGCGCGCCAAAGACGGTAGACAGTAGTGAAGGTCAACGGTCCGGTCCTATTGGTCTTAGACCGGGACCGGACCGATTGTCGGGCCGGTCTTTTTTGAGGCCCGTGGTCCGGACCGGTCTTTTATTATTATTTAAGTTTGCTTTAAAATTCAATTAATATAATTTTTTTGT